TTCTGGAAAAAAAAACACATTATGTATTTGGGCCTGATGTGTGAAGTCCTGATGTGTGTGGCGATTTTGGTGAGTTTTCGATCATGTTTAGGCCCTGAAAATCGCGTTTCAACAGTCGGTAAAATAATAATAAATAATAATAATAATCACAATGGTTACAATAGGGTCCTTGCACTGGTGTGCTCGGACCCTAATTACTAGATGTTACCAAGTAGGTCAGAGTTCTGGAGTTTCAAAGTGACTCTCCAAATACAACTGAGAATTTATTTGTTTTTTATTATTTTTTCGGACTCAACTTTGTGGGCTGGAGAAAGACTGAACTGTTAAATATTATACATATTGAATTCATACACTTATTGGAAGAGATGCTTGACAGTAAACTCCTCAGCAGCCTCTTTAAATATAGATGTACTCACACTTCAACTTTCTGTACAGACTCCAGCTTGTGACATTGGTCTTGAAGGCCAAGTTTATTCCCAGTGGAACACAAAGCAAAGAAATCCATTTGGAGCCAGGTAATCGGATGTATTTAAGTGAGCAAGACTTCATTGGTAGATTTAATGTCTTTATCATAGTGCTTGATTGTGGTCTTGCTGGAAGCAGACACGTTCATTACCAAAAACGATAGCATTTTATCCTACACAGCATTCTTTCATCAACTGTTCGATAGGATCAGAGCTATTTGATGCACGAGGGAGACCAACACAACTTTAGACAGTTGGTTTTAAAGTTGTGGCTGATCAATGTATGTCAGATGAAAACTAACAAGTGCAATAATCACTTGATCTGACAGACAACAGGATGAGACAAAGAAATCACTTTTAGGCTTAGCAGTTGGAAGACAGAGATCGGCTGACTAGGGTAGAAATCTACACTCCCTCGTGGCTTCAAAACCTGATGCCAAAAACTTGGGAGACGAGGGAATTCCCTCCGTGTCCGGGGCCTGATGGGTCACAGCTGTTTTGGCAGAACGAGGTGGACGTTACACAACATCAGGCAGGTGGTTTTAATGTTGGTGTATGTCTTCATTTAAAGTTGTGATTGGATATATTTAGCACATTTCTGACTTGAACCGTGGCAGTATTTATCCTGTCGTCAAAACTTTCAGTCGGTAGTTTAAGTCTTGCATTAGAGAGTGTAATTATTGCAACAGAACACGTCCTGTCGCTCCTGCCGGATCGTCCACCTCGGGTGCTTTGGTTCTGGTTGAAATGATTTCAGGTTCAGCTATGACTCAACGGTTTATATGAAGTGTGATTCATTTTTCCAGGTCATTAGCCCACGCATACATCATGCAACCCTGGGGTACTATTACCGACTATAGTGTGAAGTTACAGGACAACTGGATTATGTGGAGGAGACGGTAGGACAGTGTTTCAATAACCAGGATGAACACAAACACCATTAATCCCAAGTATTGTCCCAAAAGTGATGAAACTCATCAATGCACACACACACAAAAGAAATGCACGCAGCGTTATTCTGTTCAATAAACCTTTTTAATCTCAACAGCAAGTTAGCTTATGTGTGGTCAACATCAATGAAGGTAAATATAAAACTGGATTTTCTATTGATAGACTGATTTTTTTTGTTTTGTTTTATCAGCAGGAGGTGAAATTATGATACTTGGAAACACATCCACTAGAATCTTCATGACTTTAGTCTTCAACTAGAGAAATATTGCTATAATACTTTTAAATGGCATACACTGATTGACCAACGAGAAAAAAAAAGCACGGTAGAGAAGCTGACAAAGAAGCTCCAAAACTCCACACGGTGGGTCGTACAGGGAAACTTCTGAGGGACTTTGGTTTTGTACCTTTGTAAAACCTGGCTCTACTTACTTTCAGAAAAAAAAAAAAGAAAAAAAAAAATACAGAAAAGCAAGAAGTAATCATAATAAAATAAAATGATAAAAGGGTCCAACCAAAAATAACGGTGCTATTCAAAATCTTAATTTAGACTGAAAATACGAAAAGTAAAAGGCACACTGAACACTATTCACTTCCAACACAAAATTCGACCTCGGTGCAACTTGAGCGCGCACTGAAGATTCACTACACCCCTAATCTGTACAAAGAACACTCATCATAATAAACTGAAAAGTGTTACTCTTTCTTGGATTAAAATCAACAATCAAATAAAGTGTTACTATGTCTGGTCTTTCTTTGAAAGAAATTTGTTTTGTGTCCATTATTGGTGGGGAAGAGAGAGGAGAAAGGTGTTTCCTACAGATTACGGTTCGTTTCATCTGCCAGGAAACAGCAGAGCAATACAAACCTTTTCCACCTCCACCACGGTCACCTCCTCCTCTCTCGCTACATCTCTTCTTCCCCTTGTTGTCAAAGTGCTCCAGTATTCAACTTCCACAGATCATCCTGTAGCTGTTTTAGCCTGACCATTGACAAAATGAAATAAAAACAATCATCAAAACATTCACTTCAAGGCAAGAAATCCACCCTCTGATGCTCTTACACCATCAGCACTGACAATTTAATGCTCTGCAAACCCCAGAATAATTATTTCATCTGTAACCAGCCTCGCACACGTCAGTGCAGCTCTTTCTTTCAAAAGGACATTTTCAACATGACCCACAAAATGGGTGTGAGCTTATTCCTGTCAATAAAATGTGGGTGTATGACCATATAAACATATCCAGCTAGCCGACTAGTTTGTAAATTGAAGGGCGGAACTATTAATGCAGCCACAAGACCTGTTTTGCAACATGTCTTGTGGCTGCATTGCACTCTGGTCTGATGAGGCCATTGGAGCTGGAGTTATTAGTATCTCTGCCCATTTGACTGTTAAATGTGAGAGCAAATGGTGACTTACTAAGTAGTTGCTCTTAGATCCTGAGAGACTGACGGCAAAACTTGCCGACAGCATTAATAGACCATAAAGCTGACGAAAGAAAACATGTAACTGTTCGTCAGCAATTTGAGTTAAACTGTTTGTTTAAGTTGGTGAGAGACATTTTTCAATTTTCATGGCCTGCTATGACAATAAACCAAATATGTTTGGGTTTTGGATTGTTGGTCAGACAAATAAACCAATCTGAACATAGTATCTTGGCTATGATAATTATAAGATAACACAAGCTCAAACTTTGTTAATCCCAAAAGAAATCCTTGATTTCCTATGAGCATTTCCACAGCTATTTTATAGGTCAAACAACAAATAACTAAGTAATCATCAGATTACTTGATCATTAGTCGCAGCCCTAATCTGTTGTGAAACTGTGTTAAAAGCATCTTAGGGTGGATTTTTCCTTTACATCTTGCACAGGACTGCAACCACAGTTGGTCCACATTTTCTTGCCGTCACTAATGTCTGCTAACTGCAACTACAGAGACTCCCAGTCAAAGTCAAGTCTCTGTACTTTAGGAGTCTTATTGTGGACTCTGTAAGATATGTGCTCAGTCCAGTCTACACACTGAGAATGACTGCCTTGTCTGAAGGCTAATCTGACTACAAACACTCCTACAGCTTAACCCACGACCACTGAAGGTTACACAGTCTGGCCACAGGCCACAGATGGTCACAGTCCAATAATTTCATGTCAGCCCTGTGACGTTCATTGTCCTATTATTCCAATTGAGCGTACTTCTTTTGAAATCATCATCATCTGTCAGAGAAGATACATCTGTGTGCTTCAAGTAGACTGAACACAGTAAGTGCTGTTAAAAACAAAAGAAAAAAAAAATCTCTCGTCTTGTTGCTGGCTTGCTGTCAGTCAAAGACTGGTGGTGAGCCAACAGTCAAAATCCAGTGTCAGGTGACTGATGTTCTGCTGGTCTTCGTCTCACAGCAGCCTCAACGTCAGAGAGGAAACATTCTTTCATGAAATCTAATGCAGGGAATCTTCAAGGGGTCATTCCATTATAACAAACACGATTCATCATTAAAACAACACAGAGGCATGACTGGAGCACTGAGGATGTAAACCAGAGTTAATCTAAAAGCTACAACTGCACTGAGGGCAAGAGCACAGTTTGTGTCACTCTTAAGAAAGCTGTAATACAGTGTTTGTCTTTTTCAGCAATGACGACGAATATTGTGGTGGATGCAGAAAATCTGAATTCTGTATTGTGCAAACAAACATATACACACACACACATACATACAAACACACACACAGTGCTGTGCAAAAGTTTTAAGAAATTTGATATTTAGCTTCTTATCCATAACGTCATACCAGCAGGGAGGCATGTGTTTATTCAGCATCACTGACCTCAACATCATCAGTCTTAGATTACACAAAGAGTCGGAAGCAACTGAGACAGAACGAGTTCTCCAGGATGCTTGCAACAACCAACCAGCCAAGTACCTCTAAGAACTGTGTGCAAGCGTACCGAGAAAAACCAGTGCTGTTTTAAAGGCAAAAGGGTGGTCAAACCAGAGATTGATTTGATGTAGGCATTTTTTTGTTTTGTTTTAAGTTGACTGCACATTGTATGACGTTAACTGACGAATAAACGCTCGTTGTGGCATTATTTTCGAAAATGTCCTCGCTTTGCTTTTCGAGCCTAAAACTTTTGCACAGTTCCATCCATACAGCTGTCTCCAGGCTTATCCCTGCACTTTCAGGGCAAAACGAATAACAGATTATCTCCTGGTTACATCATCAGCTCAAGTGATGTCACTGCTGACAACTCTGAGGTCCCCGGGAACCAATCAGAGTCGGCTGTACAGGTGAGGCTTCCATTTACAATCCCTCCACATTAAGGATTAATATTGCTTCAGTATTGCCACAAAAATAGAATAATATTGACTGTTTAACACCGCAGCTTCTCAACCCAACATATTAACTCCATCAGCCCTCATTTATCAGGCAAACGCATGACCCACATTTCAACTGTTAAATAGGCGCGCGGCCATTTTGCCTGCAAAAACTGGTAATTATCCTCATCGTGTTGAGCATAATGAAATATGGCAAGTGTGTGCAATTGGGTAAAGGTGGGAAAGCAGTTCAGTAGTGTAAGAAATTAATCAGGATCAGTAGTTACATTCTACAAGAAACAAAACAAATATTTATGTCACGTAGCCTACACTAATGTTCGCATTAGTCAAAAACAGCTTGGAGCGAGTTTATCACTGTTAAAAGCACAATTGTAGCATTTAGATTATTTGCTTAGGCAAATGACAAAAGTTGCCTGTTTTCTGAAGGAATAGTGTATATACTAGTGCTAAAACCTATGCATGAACTCCATGTTAGCCTTTGCACATTAGTGTGTAAATAACTTCTATAATGGCTATAAAACCAACAAAATAACACATTTTAACACTTGAACTTGTGGTAATATTCATGGTACCGTGATAAATGAGGGCCATTTTCTCTTGTTCAGTTATTTTATTTATTTTTTTATCTACTGGAATCTTTAAAAAATGCACCAAAGTGTTTTGAGAACCAGTCTATTGTTGTCGATGGTGTCCTATTTTAAATACAAAAAGCACTTCCAGCCTTTGTGCTTTTGGTTGCCACTCGGTCAGTCCTAAATTAGTTCACTTCCAAAACCATTTCTAGGTGAAATGATGCACTCTAGCAGCCACCAGCATGTGCAGCATCCCCCCTCCTCCAGGCTGCACGGCGCAGTCCTCACAGGTGGCACAACGTAAGTGACAACAGCAGCCTCGCCACGTCAGCACGGCGAAGCTCGACGTTGTGCCACATATCGGGCCTGTTCCTGCCTCACAGGGCTGATGAGAACGAGAACAGAGGAGTAGAGGGAGAAAGGGAGGTAGGTTAAGGGAGGATTTTGGTAGAAAGGTTGAGTTCATCACAACTAAGAAATGAAGTTTGTATTAGTTGTACAAAAATTAACACTTTCTTCCTCATTGCTACGCTTATGGCCTCCACTTATATCTCCATTCTCTCTGTTCTTAATGCTGTGTAGGTTCTCATTGCTTAATACTGCTTTCTATCAACCCCTTCAGCCGGCTTTAGTTGACCAGTACGAAGCCATGCTGTGAGTCCACGGTCTCCATCATCTCACTGTCCAGGAGGGAGCCCTGCAACTCAGGCAGGCCCAGGCCGTCTGACGGGCCCGGACCAGCCAAAACTCCGGCCACAGCTCCGGGGTCAGCCTCTCCTTGAGCATGAGTGACCAGCGAGGAGGGGTCCAGCGAGAAATCGTACTGCTCTGGGAGAAGAGCCTCAGGGGAAGGCCCCAGCGCCTGCTGCTCACAGCCTGCTGGGAAGCTGAAGCCCAGGCCGCTGGCAGAAGCGTCATGAGGCTGGGGATGGTGGAGCTGGTGGTGGAGGTGAGATCCAGGAGGCAGATGTTGGGTGTAGTGGTGATGGCTCATGTAGGGTTCATAAACCAGACCCTCGCCCGGTTCCATCAAAGGGGTCAAGCTATGGGTGTGGCTGAAGGGCGGCGAGGCCTGAGGACTGCCCTGCTGCTGAGGCTGGGGGACTGACATGGGGGGGCCCTGAGGGGAAGTTTGAGATGCCGCCGGGTCCAGAGCAGGGCTGCCTGTTGGGTAGGAGCCTTCAGCTATCTGCATCTGGTTGAAGTAGGCCTGCAGTCCCATGCCCTGTGACTGCTGCAGGTACATCCTCTTCTGGTTCAGTCTGCGAGCAGAGCAGTTGCATCCACTTAGCACAAAACAAGACTTAGAGTCAACACAGGTAATAAAAACAAGCTTCCAAAATGTATCCATCAGCACTTACAGGCAAAATATAGATTAAAAAGTGAATTGGGAAACTAAAAAATGCTGAATGCATGTGCTGTACACATTGGGTTATTGTTGATCTGAATCGCTGCCTGCACCACTATTTGTTGTTTCAAATATTGATTTAAATAGATCTACTGTGCACAGTGACAGTTGGGAGAAACAATTGACCAATCTGAGCTTAGGAGATGGGATTAGAAAAAGGGGATACCATCTTCCTACATAGCTAGAGGAAAAATAGCGACAGAAAAATGGTGATGCTTGGATGAGACGGGCACAAATGTATACACCAACTAATTAAAGAAATGAGCCAACATCTTTCTTTGGTCAATATGAACTGCCACTACCAACTGCAGGAAAAGTTAGAGCAAAACAAAAATATTACAACCTCCTTTTCAAACATGAAATCAGCCAACAACACAATGTGAGGTTAAATGGATGATATCCAACAAAATGCAACTTCAGGCTGTGTTTCATTTACAAAAAAATTTAATTCATCTCACTGTGGTACAATGTGTGACTAACTTTGCAAACTATTTGGATTTATTTGCAATTCTGAATGCTTTTTTTTGCTTTACATTCTCCAGCAGGTGAAGGCCACCACAGCTAAGTGAACACACCAAAAATATTTTCTAAAAGGCAAAAGAAGCAAATGTGTGGAGCAGACATCTGCAGTGTGATTTACCTGTGTTCCTGCAGCTGTTGCTCTAAACTTCGAGGAGTCTCCTTACAGAAAAGTTGGCAGCTAGCAGGACTGTTAGCCAAGACGTTGGCCTTTTGGGCAGAAGAAAGATTTGGACTCATGACTGTGATAATTGCCACAGCAACCATCTACAAACTGTTGTATTTCTGTATAGTTGCAGAGCTGATAATTCTTACATTTCTGAATGATATCACTGAATATTATGCAAAGCAGTCATTTGGCTTGATAAGACAGGTCTGTGTCATGCAGAGACTTGTACGTAGCAGTTGATAATTAATTACACTGTAGGTTATAATGAGTGCAGGTGGTGTTCAGACTGTACCTGTAGTCTGTGAGTGAGGTACTGTGTCTCCAAACTCTGTCTGCGCGACAGAAGAGGCGGCTGTGGCCCACCTTGATATAAAGCTAGGCCCTCCTGCTGCTTGTATGCCTCACCCTTCAAACAAAAACAGAATAACAAGGGATGTTTATGCACACGTACTTGTCCACAAATGCTCAAGGGCCCAGGTCCCCTGTCCTGTTGGTTAATGAAGCTGTGTCAAAGTCCCGGTGATTCATTGCGTGGTTTAACTGAATTATCTTTGCTGTCTCCTGCCCAAATGCTTGTGTGGTGACTGATCAGCCAGATGCCTTTCTCTAAATGGCATGTACCATTGGGATTACACATTAGGTAAATGAAATGAAAGCAAATTAAAAGGATGATGGGGCTCGAGCATCATAACCAACAAAGAGCTGCTTTATTGCATTATGAGTGATGGACAAAAGCAAAACGACTAGATCTTGTCAGCTTTTGCAATTGATTTTGTATGTTTATTTTTATTTTTTTTTTACAGGAAAGCCTACTTACCTTCCTCTAAATGGTTCCCCCCTGCAGTGTGTGTCTGTCTGTGTTTAATTTTGTGTACTCGCATGCTCATCTTTTTGTGTGATTGTAGTTCTAAACAGCGCTACGGGTAAGTCTGACTGACTTCAACAATGGCTGTATTCATTTTGGCCGAGGCTCCAGGCCCCAGGGGGACGGGAGACAGTAAACAAGCCACAGTTGGCTGCCTCTCCTGGGGTTACACAACAGCCTGGGTGCCTGCTTTTTTTTTTTCCCCCCCGGACAACATGGGGTCAGGACATGAGACGGACTGGGGCTGAGAGCTGCTTTGGAAAGAGAAAGATCATGAGGGGTGTGTGTGTGTGTGTGTGTGTGTGTGTGTGTTTTTTTTGGTGTGATTATGCAGGAAGACTAACCTCCAGGAGGTTGTGCAAGTGGTGCGGTGGTCCCAGAGGGCCCATGGCGGCCCCTTCCCCGGAGCCCATCTGCTCCACCAGCATCTGGACTTTGTTGAGCTCCAGGATACCTTTGGTCCTCGCCAAGTTCTGGAGGTGCTGCCGAAAGGCGACCAAACCTGAAAGCACAAACAAATCCCCACAAAACAGAGTCACAATTGATTTTTGCAACTGATCTACACAAAAAAAACAAAAACACTTTCATTTTCAGAACAGGATGTTGAAATGCTTCATCCTTTCATAACTTAATCCTCACTGACGTTAGCAAACCGATTGACCAGATAGCACTTTTTATCACCCCTCCTGACAATGTGACTGGATGTACGTCATGAGTCGCTGTGGGTGTGTATTTGTGTGTTGCCCATGTGACAGCATCTCTGTGTCTGTGTGTGTGTGCACGCGCGCATGCAACAGCAAGCAGCTCTGATAAGACCCATCCAGTGGTGACGAACTGTGGCTGTGAACGATAGGACCTGACTCACTGTGATGGTGGGTAGTTATTTAAAACCAGAGTCAGCAGTCTGACGCAAAAGAATCCACCGCATCAACACTCTCCAAAGAGGATTACGAAAAAGAAATAAATAAATAACTGCAAATACCAACTGGGAGCGCACAGTTCCGACTGTCGATGTGGAGCCAGGAAGGGAACACACATTTTTAACTTATAATTATAGGTTCTTCTTGGCTAAAGTGCAGGTGATTTACAACCAGCAGGCACAGGATAAAGTAGCTGTGAAAGGAAAAAAAAAAGCGAGAGGTAGATAGGAGGTTGTTTAACATTCCCTCTTATATCTTGGCTCCTCTCGCTCTCTGATGTGAAGAAGAAACAAATCTTGCTTGCCGCAGACTGAAACTTTGAAAAGAGAAAGAAAAGCAAGACAGGGAATGAGCAGTACAGAGGGAGAAGGAGAGCGAGTGAGAAAGAGAAGGATAGAGATTGAAGGGGGGGAGAGAGAAAGATATGTGGGCTGAAACCTTCAAATATCTGTTTGTGATTCATAAGGTGAATCATCACGGTTGTAGTCGTCAGAAAGACGGGAGGGGATAAAGAGAGGAGGAAGAGACGGAGAGAAAAGTGTGTGAATAAAAAGAGGGGGGGGGTTGAGCAAATGAGACGGTTGCAATGAAGCACTTTTACCTGGAAGCAATACATACACATACATATGCATATGTAAGTGAGGTGTTAGCAGCTGTAGTAGGGGTGTCACATGTGTGGCATGCAGATCAGAGTTTTTCATCTCATCTGGTGCTTTAGCTTCAGACATTTGTACTACGGTACTTGATGCAGCGAGCTTTCTCTGCAGCTCGTAGTAACTAAGCTTAAGGAGACATGTCAAATCTGGCATTTAATTGACACTTATATGCGACTGATCCGTGATTTCAAAGCATCTCTCTCAAACCCATCAGGTCTACATCCACTTCAGACAGTGACTGTCACTGAATGTTTTTCAGCGGCATCTCAAGGGCATGTCTGAACTCGCTGCATTCAACTGTGCAGATAGAGCAACTGGAGTATAGTATAAGAATGATAGGAGACGATAAAATGACTTGTCTGGTCGTTGGCTGTATTCCAGTGTGGTCTTTTGGGGCTTTGTAAGAGTATGGCACTGATTTAGCATTGCACGTCTATAGCAGTGGAGCCAGACTCAGACTCAGAGGAAAGCATCAGCACTGATGCTGAAGAATCAGAGATATCATGTTTTTTATTCCACATCTATTTTCTTCCTTGTCAAAACCTGCCACCTACATTATCCCCAACGACTGACTATTGAGCTGGAAATTCAGGTGTGTTCCATGAGTAGGACCTAATGTAGCACTGGGCATTTGTCAGTCAGAAACAGTCGATTACAGAGGTCTGATATAATTGCTTCTTTCTAGTGCCATATTTCCAGATTTCTAAAATTTTCACACTTTTAGTCTTTAGACTTATTTGCAATTGACACAAAACAGCCATAAACAGGCAGAAATATAGAAAAACAGTGCAGCTCCCCTTTGAAGTAGACGAGTCTCCTGCTGCCAAGAGCTGGTGACAAACTCAATCATTTTTCCATTTCCCTTTGCAACCTTCTTTTTTTATTTTATACCTTTAACGCCAGTAAAACTACAGTGTCAAATAACACAAGTAAGTCTAATGCAAAAGATGTTTAACCTATCATGAAGTCAATGTAGTCTTACAGAAAAGTTGTCTAAAAAAAAAAACGATAAATGGATTTTGAGGGGAGAAATGACAACTTAACACTGTTGGTTCTGACCTTGGGTGAGGGAGGTGTCGGATGCGCGGCGTCCTTCTCTGAAGCTGATGGGCGAGCGGTTGTGTGTCTCCCTGTGCTGGGAGGTGAGGGCAGCCATTGCAGGGTTGGCAGGCCGAGCGCTCAAATAAGGCGTTGGGGTTACGCCGGGGGCAGAGCTGTTGGTTGGTACCACTTCAGTGAGAGAGGGGGGGTCCTCAAGCAGACCAAGGTCACTGTGTATGGAGCCCATATCGTAGCCAATGTCTGAGTCCACGCTGCCCATGGAGGGGTTGTGGCCTAGAGTGAATAATTTACCTGGAAACAAATTTGTAATTCCATGTCAGGGAAGTGATGCAGAAAAACAGTCTTGTTTTATCGCTAGGCGTAACAGTCTGTCAGGTGACATCATACCTTGGTTCGAAGGCCCTGGCTGGTTGGTGACCTCAGACAGGGTGTGTCGCCGTTGGCCGAATCGAGCTGTCTGATAGGCTGAGAGCAGGTGGGGTGGATCATCATCCGTGTCGGGCTCCTCAGTCTCGATGCCCTCATCAATCGATGTCTCCATCATGTTGCTAGGCGACGAGGTGGAGGACTTGCGGAGGACAGTGGGGGGAGGTAAGGGGTCCAGCAGGCAGCCATTCACCTAGATAGGGAGAGAGATGGAAACCATCCATGTAAAATTGACTGCAACAGGATGAAAACATCTCCAAACTGAGGAGCAAAGGACACATTCATACTCATAATGAAAACTGTATTTTATCACTGAAATCAGTCAAACATTAAGGTGCTTTCACAAAAGAAAACACACAAAAAAATTCCATCATTTGCACTAGACAACTTGAATACAAGAGGGCAGCCACCATGCTGAGAACGAGGGCTCCTTTAGTTGCTCTCCATCCTCTGTTTTCCCTCCACTCACCACAGTTGGTCTCATACTGGGAGTGTGCGTGTGTTTGTTACAGCATGCAGGCCTGTGTGTGTTGGCGTAGAGGTGGAGGGCGAGGATGAAGGAATGCGGGGCCAGGAAGTGAGCTTTGACTGAAAGTGCCGTGTGACTGACACACACAGAAACACACAGATCATCTGCATGAGTTGCCGCAGTAACCGGAAAGCCTGGTGTTGGTCTGGAAAGAGCAACTTTGCCCAATTCCCCCATCTGCTTTCTGTAGTGTGCTGGAATAGGAATGCTATTACTCAACAGACACACACACACACACACACATTTGAAGACAAGAGGGGAAAACTACATTGAGAAGTAGGCAAAAAAAAAATGGGTGGGTGTCATAAGGGGAGAGAGAAGTTAGAGGATAAAGAAGAAGCGGGGAGAAAATAGAAGCTGAATGGAAGAGTAAAAAAAAAAAAAAAGAAAAAAGAAAAGGCAAACGACCCAGGAGGAGAAAGAAGAAAGCCAAAATCTAAAAACGAAAAGATGAGCTGTTGGCTGATGGGTAGGAAGTCTGGGCGGCGAGATCGCTGGAGCAGCGCAGCAGCTTCCTGTCCATGTGTGTTCACTCAGCTCTGCATTAGGTCACATCATCATCACAGGACCGCTTACATAACCAGACTCCATTCACGCAGATAACACGCACTCAGACTCTCTGCTCGGTTCTGCTTACCACAGACACATGCACGCACGCACACACACGTTAAACAATGTACAAATCATCCTTTATTGGAGCCAGGAGTGGGGGTGGGATGGAAAAAGAAATCTTGAAGAATGATACTAATGTGTGTGTGTGTGTGTGTGTGTGTGTGTGTGTGTAGCCCTGCAGGTGTGTGAGGCCGTCAAGTCAGACCACTGGTGTCTGTGTTCTGTAATAGGCGGTAAAACCCAACAACAGGCCCGGAGTAAAAGGTCGTCAGTTGGCACAGATCAACAGAGGAAAAGGGAGAGCAGTGTGTGTCTGTCTGTCTAGGAGCCTTGCAGGACAGGCAGCTGTCCTGTCTGATGTGAGTGCTGGCTGAGTGCTTACATAAGAGGACAAGTCAGCTGCACTCTGGCAGGTTGACGGAGCAAACCGATGCTCCGAACCTCAAAGAAATCTGGCGCGCGCACACACACACACAGGCATGCACAGACATTTCTGATTTGCAGTGAGCGGGTATGCTTATCAAAGCAAATCACTGTCAAGCTTATCAGGATAATACATGTGCAAGCTGATAATGACCGTGATAACGACAAGTTCCATAACCAAAATGTCGAGAGAGCTGTGATATAAGGATAGAGGACAAACCACAAGGCGACAAAGAAACAAAACCTTCTTGAAAAAGATTCAACCTGTTTTTGCTGGTATTGGACCTACTTTTGGTGTGTTGACATCCTCCACCATGAAATTCTGCTCCAGGGGACATGCAGTCTGGGGGAAGGTGAAAGCATCGGAGGAGGCTTGGGGCACAGCAGGGGAACGCAACAGACGAACGCCCTGCGGGAGCAAACCCACCTGGGCTGAACCACTGGTCGACTGTGGAGAAGGAGAAAACAGAGACGGTAATAGTCTTTGACATTAAATATGAGAAACCTTCTCCATTTTTGGTCTATTCTGTACAATATCCTTGCAATTCTGACAAAAATGAGCTGCAGAGAATCTGACTTTATAGTCCGAAAGGGACAAGAAAGCCAGATTCTAGATGGTGAGGGAAATGAAAGAGTGGTGTAAGAAGAGGCAGTGGGCAAAGAAAAGGAAATAATGAATAATGTAACTGAGGGAGATGCATAAGATCAAGGCTGGGAGAAAGAGGCTGCAAGAGAGCCCATGAAGACATGGATAAATAAATGAATGGGTCGTATTCGTTCATTTGTTTGTTCCTGGGAGCAGGTGTGAATAACAGCGCTTTGATCAGGGAGGCACGGATAGTAATCTGTGCACATTATTCGAAAACCCCCTTGCGACCCTGATGCCCTGTGGTTACCTTGACGACCGTCTGTTCGGCGATGGTGCTGGGTCGTCGCTGGCGGGCGTCGAGCCTCTGTTCGACGGGGAAGCTGCAGCGATGGGCCTTGAGACGCTCCACCAGCAGGTAGTAGATAGCAGCAAAGTGGTTGTAGCTCTTATTCTGCAGAGACTGGAGGATGACAGACGATATAAATGGTGACGTCTGTAAATGAAGTTATTAGTGAAGCTCACACTCCATTTTGGATGATTTAACTGTGACAGCTCTTGAGATATGGTGAGATAATTCTTTAATTATCCCTGTATGAAAGCAGGTTATTGCAGCAGCTTGAAGAACAGAATACAGATTTTAAAAAATACAATACAGAGAATATGTTAAAAGACAAGGCAGCACACAGAATATAGTCCAGATAAATTACAGCTTCTCCATCTGAAGATTAGCACTCTAAATCCCCAAATCCACGAGTGGGTTTTGAAAGGCATGCTATCTTTAAAAAAAAAAAAACTGCCAAAATTACACCATTTGTCAGAGCCAGACACTGTAAAACCACAAAGAATCATTAGATTATCAACTTTCTGACAGTCTTTGAACTACTTGACTGTGATATGCTGCTTGGTGGAAAAAAAATAGCCAAGTCTGATCTTGAAATTGTGATAATTCATCAAATTATACAGGGTTAAAACATAATGTTAAATGTAAAATAAATAGATAAATAAATACACCTTTTTCACTAACCAGATACTGTAATAAAGTCACTCGTAACTCATCTGCAACCCACAGTCACATGACAAAAACTCATGAACAAATTGGCTGAACTGAGCACAGAGCAGATAGAAGACAAGTAGAAAAACAAGTAGAAAATGTACTTAGTAAAATATCTACAATATGTAGAGTCAACATAGTATTGTTCCAGTATTGTTAACACATCTGGGCACACATCTGTTGCACTGGTAAATGCTGTAATGTTGTAATATAACTATGTCACACTGCACAAAAGACCTTTTTTGTGTTTTCACATCTAGTCAGGGTTGTGCTTTTGTGACTTTATAATACAGTAAAAAATTAGCCCACAGTGAGTTAAAATGTAACAAGAGTAAGACACGTCTAGAAACTTCTTGGGGTTCAAAGGGTTAACTAGATCAATAAATGCTTAGTCTAAAGGTTCAGATGTGTTCACTGGGTAAAGAATTCTATTTCCTTTCTTATAAGAACTAAAGATAATGTTAACACAATTATATTGGGATTGTTTTGCTGAAATTTGTAAAATAATGTTAGTAAATGCAATATAATTTCTAATTCTTATTTACAGAACATTTTTCCATTTCATTTATTCATGTATATTACATTCCTGAACATGTGTTTATGTGTGAACAAAGAATAAATATACAGTAAATAGATACCTAGATAATAAAGTACTGCATGATCAAACAGTGTCTTTCAACATAGTTGATCAGATTTTTATGAAGATACTACTCCTATGATACAATGTTAATATGAAAGAAGGCCAAAAAAAATAAAAATACATATGGAGAGGCACAAATGTGAGCTACATTTCTCATGTGCACTTTTAAAACGGTGCATTATTGTCATTATATGCTCAGGAATTGTCAGAAATAACTGCATACAGTGGAGGTCTAATGACTGATTTGCAGGCAAATGAGCATTAAACCAAAGCGTTCTTCTTCACTTTACACTTTATCTTTATATCCGTGCATCCTCTCTTCTTATTTAGCAACAGATGTACTTGAAGTAAGGTCTGCAATATACAGCTTAGACCTCACTGTATTCTGCACTCATTAGCCAAGGTAGACAACTGCCCAAGGTGACCAATTACAGTCCTGGTAAGAGCAACTTAACTTTTTTTTAATTATTATTATTTTTTTATCCTATTTGTGTTTTGTTCAAGTTCACCTTCACCATGCTGCACATACAGCCACAGTGAAAGACTCCTTTGGGCTCCATATGAAGAGCGATGCTTATCCATTGTTCGCTCACCATTATCTTGTTCACTGTCTAAAGCTTTGACCTTTAAACCTTATATCACAGCTGAATAAATGAAGCCGTCTCCTGTTTCCAGCTTACCTCTATGGTCTTGTGCTGGTCAATACCGAGGCTGTGCATCAGGCGAAGGACCTGCTCGCTGTATTCTCCTACGCCCGCCTCACCCTCAGCAGACAGGGGCTGCTGGTACAGAACAGGCCTCTGCACGGGAACATCCAGAGCCATCCACTTGTGCTCCTTAATCTGGGCCACAGACAGACGCTTCGACGGGTCCAGGACCAGCATTCTGCGGATGAGGTGTTCACAGTCTGCCAGGGATGGAAAGAGCAATCACACAAGATTTTTATAGATGTACATATTTTACATCATCACTTTTTAAGAAGAAAGAGATTATTAATGTTCGGTAGCGCAGAGAACTTCTTCTATAAGCTATGATGAAGCAAATTAAGCCACAATGCATCATGTCCTCATCAAAGCAGTCCAGATGAAGTGGGGCAGAAATAACACTTAAAGGGCTTAAAATCTGAAAAATTCTTTTCTTAGTTTCACCTGCTGTCATTTCTGAGCAGCGTGACTACACTCTTTTCTACTTTCCTCCCCTCCTAATGAGAGCTCCTCACGTCTAGTTAGTGGCTAGATGAGTTTGACGTCAGACACAGCTGGGTTCTTAACAGGATTACAGTTCCCCTGGCTGTGCTGCTTTGGCCTGCCTGCACCCCTACTGCCTGCACTGCATTCCTGCCTGCCACATGGCATCCTTACCCATTTACTTCACTGCTATGGTCTTAAAGCAAAACAGGTGTGTTTTCAACAAATAAGCCTGGCAGCTGCTCATTATGTCTTTGATCTGTAATACTTTCTGTATTAGTATATGTTTGGGAAATTAATGATGTCTACCTCGTAGTGGATTTATTTTGAAAACCTGAACACAGAGCATGATTCGTGTGTTTAGGTCACTAAAGGTGTTCACTTTTGAATTTGGGATTTGGGCACAGCAAATAAACAGTCCAGACATAAATTAAAATATTATAAAAAGAGTTTTCAAAGGAAAGTTAAGTGGAATTCTCAACAAACAACTTTCTGTGGGTCATTCAAAACCATGTTATTCTCCTGCACTAAATATCCTGTTTTCCATCACAGACTTGAGAGAGCGATCTTAGCGGTACATAGCAGACAAGGACCTGGCTGCCAACATTAACTCCCTGCTGCACATTCTTCTCAGTTGCCCTGCTGATCTACTAACGTCTGCTTACATCACATTTTTTATACCTCGTGCCTGGTAGTTCAGCCAACTCAATCCCCCCCCCAACATTATGCGTCTAACCAGTGTGCCCTTCACTGCACTTTTACTTCATGCTGTGGCCTCTAAACAGCTTGTGCAGCTGCTAAGTTAAACTGCTTCAAATACAGTTCAGTACAATACACCACAATTTGTTTTACTCAGAAGTTTCTGAAGGTCTGCTTGTTGCTACAGCAGTGTTTATAGCAACAGTTGAAGCTGAGCTTTTTCGAGCCCCAGGGAAGGCTTGACTATGTAAAGGGGTCGGCACTGCATAACCGTGTAGCTGGCTGGCTGATTGATTGACACTCTGTTCTCAGCCAGTGCATTACACCACTATGACTTAACCACAGAACCATCCCACTTAACACTTGCGATGCCCCGGTGGTGTAAAGTTGCACCGAGAAGGGGAACAGCATGGTGCTGCAAGAAGCTGAAGAGCATGGAGCAGATATTGAGGCTAAATTGTTATCTATTGTATTGATATTGTTTTTTTAATTTTTTTTTTATTTTTCACATTTCTATTTTGTTATAGTGAGTGGTGTGTTTGGCTCGCTCTACTGCTACAACACAACACAAAAGAAAACAGGAATGCCAGAAGCAGCACCCCTGATATGCACACAACCTGTGCAATATCCCACAGAAGGGGAGGCAAAAGACAACATCTTCTGTACGTAGTGAGTCACAAAGATGGGAGTAAACCGCAGTGTTCACAGTGCTCTAATGTTCTAGTGAGAGTTTACTGTGCAGTGCTAGGCTGTGCCGTGTACCACAGTGCTGGCCGGTGAGAGCAACAAGAGGAAATAAGATGGACTGTTCGTGGATGAAGAAATCAGCACACTCTGTTCTACTTGTTCGGGGAACAGGGGCTGGACTGGGGGTGGGGAGGCGGGTTCGAGTGTCAGTCTGGCCACGGAGCTGACATTACACTCCTACATTCCCCTGTGTGTATTAATTGTTTCAAGGTCCTGATCATAAAAAAAAAAAAAAAATCCGGTCGACTCTCGCATCACACTCCCTGTGGAGAAGTTGCCTCAGACTTCCAGATGGGATACCGAGAAAGAGGACAACAGGAACAGACAGGGACACAGACGGACAGGAAGATGTCTCACAGATAGTATGAGTCAAACAGGCATACAAACAGACAGACAGGCAAGCTGCTGGAGGGCTTCACTGGCTCTTCCCCAGGTTACATAAACAGCTCCAGCTCTGGACATAATCTGCAGCCAGTGAGCTAGCACAACTGCTAACAGCAGGGCTGCTTTGAGACAGTTAGCCAACCTGACTCACTCTGCAGCCACACACATACACAAGACACACATGCGGCGGACAATGACGGCGTGCTTCATACCACATCCCCTTCAAATGAGTATAATGCCCTGTCGCTAATGAAATGACCTCCCGACTGGTTGCAGCCACAAGAGAGCCTGCGAGCGAACATGCAAGCAGTATGGTGACTCAAATAGGAAAGTGTGATCCATTCGTCTGTCTGTCAGTGTTCCTCACAGGAATTTTCATGACATTTTTTGCTCAGATCGTCTACAGACTGTGATAAAAAAGACTGGGAGGTGTCTCACAAACACACTGCATGCTTGTGCGCTTACAAGAATGTGAAGCATTGAGGTGTGGGGCTTGACATGTCTTACTTTGTGTTTAATATCTCGGCAACAGACTGCGCTTGTGGCTCCTTACCTTCAGTCATGAAGTAGGGGATGCGAAACCTTCCTTCTAGGACTCTCTGTCGGAGCACAGGCAGAGTGGGCCCATCAAAGGGCAACGCGCCACACACCAGCACATATAGCACCACCCCCATACTCTGGAAACATGAAAAGATATACACAGAAAACAAGGTCAGGGCAGGAACAATCAGTAGATCAATCACAAATATCTGGATGCAAATAGTGCTTATTATTATTATTTGCACTCACATGCATGTTCACCTGCAAATGCATGAGCCCACACCCAAATATACAACCATATATATATATAAATATGCCACTATATTGCAAATGATTGCGATATATAGGAGGCTCTGAGCTGTGGTTGGGAAATCACACTCCACATCATCACAGAACCATATGACAGGAAAAAAAAACTTGCTGACGGTATGAAATTTAAACTTTCTTTCCATTGTTGAAGTGAATGGAGTTTAAAAATGTACTCAAGGAAAGAGATGACAGGATGTGACCTGTAATTTCAATCCACGTGACAGTAGTTTCAATGAATTAGTAAAAGGAACATGGCGCAGTTGTCTCCTTTATGCAATCAATCATCTTACCCATATGTCCAGCTGTGGGCCCTCGTACTGTTGTCCCTCAAAGACCTCTGGAGCAGCGTAGGGCGGGCTGCCGCACCACGTGGCAAGAGGTTCCCCAGGCTGGAAGAAGTTCCCAAATCCAAAATCTGCGCAGGGCAAGACATCAGGAATTATGTAGGTTAGAGATAGTCTTAAACATTAAAGTTTGTTGCAGTCATCCCTGTGAGTGGACTGTAAAAAGAAAAGAGATCAGGCAGTTATGAATATCTGCAGTATAGCTACTAAAGTGGTTCAACTGAACAAAGAAGCAGCCCAGAACAAAGCTGGGCAATATGTTCAAGTGTCTTCATGCAGGTTTTGCATAACGTAATATGTGATCCACATATTTTTACATTGAGAAAATGGGCCCTTGTATGAGGTAACCTCCCTTGGAGACTGACATGAGGTCATAAGTGCTGCACTCTGATTGGTTGTCAGCAGAATGACTAAAACTCCGATTTTAATCTTAAGAGGAGAAAGACAGAGAACTCTAACTTACAACTGCACAAGTACACCCAAAATTTTGAGAGGTTTACGTCTGCCTTTCATTAAAATTCAACTAAAAGCTGTAGTGAAATCTGCCAAATCACACTGAGCCAACTTGCATGCCTGCGATCAGTCAGCCAACCCATTTTTTATATTAGTTCATATCACTTTCACACATGTTCCCTCCTTCTCATCCCATCTCCCTCGTTCTCAAATCTTCTCCAGCAAATTATCCTTTGTGTCTTTTCCTCATTTGGCTTTTACGAGATTTGCTACCAGCGCTTGCTTCTAGAGCTGGGATGAAAAATAGCTCCTTTAGATATGAGAATTTGATGGTTTTCTCTGCCTCGCGTCATTGTTAATGTAATCTCTTCAACTTTCGAAGGGGAGTGGTAGTTACTTTTCTATTGTAAATGATTTTGACATAAATGATCCGTGAGCTCTATAAAATTTTTTTTAAAAAGCACAGAAAATCTATTAACAACAGATAAAGAATTCCATGCTTTGTTGGTTCATTATCAATGGGATGGTGTCATGGGACCTGACAGCTCCTGGAGCAGACCATCAAGCTCACTTAACCCTCCACCCCCACCCTTTTTCCATAATTCGAAACAGTTACATAAACAGAAAGAAGTGTATTGCAAAACAAATAACAGATAAAAAAAAATCTGGCTTACATAATGGGGCTGGAGGTGATGTGGGTTCACACACACACACACACACACACACACAATAAGCTGTGTGTGAGACAGAATGTGAAACAAATTTCTTTTCGTTTGCTTCGTCCTCATTATGACAATTAAATAATCAAGAGCTATACGTCACATTCAGACAGACCACACCCACGGCTAAGACACAGTAACACAACCTTTCCCATTGTGTAAAACCACTTTTAATTATACACAAATCAGTGAATTAGTTTCATAAATACTCGCATTGTCTGTAAAATATCACCCAACATTTCTTTGTTTTGTCCAACAAGCCCAAACCAGACCAAAATCCAAAAGACATGTTGTTTACAAAGTTGCCACATTGTTAGACACACATAGTTAACATTACATGATGATGCAGTCTAGTACAACAGCTATGAATCCTACGTTTACGACGGTTAGAATGTTCAGTTTTTACTGAAACTGTCTGACAGAAGTGCTCATTCTGCTTTGTGATTATTGCAGCGTTGTTGCTTTGCAAACAAGAGGTATTTCTGGTATTTAGACTCACATAAAGTCAAAGTTTTAGTGTACCTAATAAACTGGCAACTGAAAGTAGAAAACAGAAAAAGGCAGTAAGTTCACACATCTAAAAATCTGGAAGTGACACAAAGAAATAAATTAAATTATTAGGTTTTTTTCTTTTATTTCTGCATGACAATGAATTGTTTTGCCTCTAAAATTAAGGGTGTGTGGGCATCTAGATGTCTAATATTAAGAGATACACTACATACTATGACAACAATAACCATTTCTGGATGCTGACCTATCTCTCTTCCTCCAATCAAAGCTTTTTTTTTTTTTTTTTAAATGAAGGCAAAAAGCTAAAAAACAACAAAAAAAACCAACTTAAAACAAAAAACAAAACCCCCAAAAACCCTTAAACAATAAAGAATCTATACTGCAGACAGTTTCTTGATGCCACACACAAAAAAAGGTGTAGGAGATTCTAGTTCAAATCCATGCAGGAATGAGGTTTCAGAGATTAACTCAAACTCCAATTGAAAAGGAGATGGCAGATTCAACAGTGTGTGTGAGCGCATGCAGTCAAACCATTTAATTACTGCAATGCAGGGAGCAGCAGGTGTGGCTGAAATAAAAAATGAAAAGGTAAAACCGAGTGACACAGCGGGTTTATTACGAGTGTGTTTACTGTCTGATGCTGCTGTGAAGGTGAGATGCGATGTGCAGGAGAGAGCCGAGCGGAGCAGTGCAGTCGGTTTTATCGTCAGAAGCTGTGACCCATTTCATGGAGCTGAATACTGAGCAGACTGGTTGACGTCAAACGCTCCAGCACGCTGCAGGCTACTAACAGCAGTCGCAGCTCAACAGGAAGGGCGGGGTGGGGGAGTGTGTGTGTCGCGCACAACAGCATTAGCATAATATTAGCTTAAACATGTCACCTATCAGTTTATAATACTGTGTCTGTACGTGTGTGTGTGTGTGTGTGTGTGTGTGTGACATAATCATGCTACTGTAAGAGAGCAGCATCCAGAAGTCACAAATCTGTCATTTCTAACAACAAGGTATGAAAACTGTTATTACGACTGCAGGATAGGATGTACTGCTTTCTTTCTCTTCTTGCCTCTCTCATTTGTTTTCACCTAAAAACTATTTCCTTCAGGTTCCCAAAACCTCACCCTCTGCTACACCTATGAAAAACAAAGATGCAACTTTGTTAAGATTGGCACAGCACAACAGTGTCTGGGATTTTGCAGATATAACCCTTCTTGGTACTAGTAGCTTTTGGTGGATACTGTTATCTACTATTAGGACACTTTGGATATTCTAGAAAAGATGTCACAGTCTTTTTTTGTGCCAAATTCAAATAGTTAGTATGTGTTTTTTTGTTGCTCTTCTAAGTGGTTTCAAAGGAGCCGGGTTCAGTTGGAAAGAGGTGATTATTCACCCCTCTGAGCAACAATCAGAACTTATCAACGTTTGAATCAGAACGTGACTGAAACTGGTGAGTTGTTTCATCACTGTCAATCAAGCCTGATAATCATCAAACTGCTCGCCCACAGTCCCAATCTAGCAGATTAAGGTTTTTATCGTTGAACTCGATTACCAAAACGGGGTTTGTATTGAATTTAAATTTTACTTATTTGGTCTTGATTATTAATTATGCAGGCAAAGATTTTAAAACAAACATAGTGGTTTCCATCCCTTTCTGTTCCTATAAAATCAAGTGTGTATACAAAAAGCAAGAACCTGTTTTTCAACATGCGTCCCTGATCTGGAGACTGTTTGTATAGTCTACACAGTCTGCATCATTTAACTGACCATGAAACACATTTAGGGTTTGGTGCACTTTCAATAACGCATGCTGTAGATAGTTTCAACCTTGAGAAATTCACATATCATTTAATGTGGCTATAAACATGTGTTCATAACTGTATAGTGATATAAGTTATGATGTTATGCATTTTATTTTTGAGATAGTTATCCTTTGCCATTTTTGTGGTGTTTTTTTCTTTTAACGTGTAAAGTGAACACAACCAAAATCATGAAATACACATATTCCCTGCTAAGCCACAAAGGCAGTCTCCTCTCCTTCTCTGATCCAGCAACTCGCTTTTGTTTTTGTTATGCCTCCTCCTCTCTTTCCATCCCCTTCAGTCTGTCAACTCGAACGTAAAGGGGCTGTTTGAAGTGAAAACATTAAGGGCACTCCCTGCTGCTACTGCTCCACTCTCCTCTGCAGCCACCATGAGCGTGACCTTTCTTTGACTGACCGCCGGTTAAGCTTCATACAGACTGACCAGAGGTGGCCTTTAGAAAGCAGGGAGGCATCACAGGACTGCAGGAAAAGCCCAGAAGCACAGACACTTTGTCTGGACCTCGGTATTCAGAGGAGGGCTGAGACGATTACTTGAGAAAGAGAAAATGAATTGATCATTTTAGTAATCAATTATCCCTGGTGCCAGTTACACATATATGACCATTTATGCTAGCTACTTTTACCTGCATCAAACTGTTATAAACTGAGCATCTTTGGATAGTGGGCTGTTAGTCAGTAAGACTGCAGCATCATCGGACCATGTGGGCAGCTGCCCCAGTTCCAGATTCTCAGTGGACCAGTGGACACCTCCGGGATCATCATGTGGCAATAAATGTGTGGCCATTAACATTTAATTTATTTATTTTTTTAAATTCTAGATGTACCAATAAAGCATGTTTTAAACTAAGAAAGATGCAACACCTGCAATTGCCTAACTGCATAGGCCCATCTTGCAAAGGGACTCTTTATTTGTAATACAGCTTTTATAGATACAATGTAGCTTTACATCCAATTGCATATAAAAGCACTGAAAACATCAATAATTAATACATTAAAAAGTGGAAAACAAAACATTTGAATATAATAAAATAGGGCAAAATAATACCAATGCTGAAAAAAGAAATGGTGACTCTACACACTCTAGATATTTTACAATTTACATTTTTAACTTGTTTCCATTCTTGTGTACTACCTGCTCTGTATGAACAAAGCCTGCAGTGCAGCCGAAAAATCCCTTAATATTTGTCTGGGTGATTGTTGTCAGAGCTGAGTTAGTCATGGCTTCTGGATTTTTTTGGTTTTTAATAAAATCTGGTTACGAAGCTGAAAATTTGATGAATCTTTCAGTGTTTTTGGCTCTAAAAATGTTGTAATTTTGCTGATTTTTGGAAAGTTAACATGCCTTTCAATGGTTTTGAGGTGAAGAGGGTTAAAGGAATTTACAGCTATGTTTTTAAAACTGGTCTCAGAGTATGAGAGAAAAGAGAAGGTGGGCATTTCTTCTCAGAGGCTCAGTAGTGAGTTAATCTGTCTACTTGTTCGGACAAAACTACCAATGGGAAGATGTTGCCCTCTAAGAAAACTGTGATGGACATTTTACACTATTTTTTCTGACATTTTATAGACAAAAAATAAACTGCAAGGTTCAATCAATCATTTCTTATTAGTTGTAGCCCTAGCCAATTTTCATTTAAGGTCTAAAAATTATCAGCAGATTACTTCATCATGAAAATAACCATTAGCTGCAGCTCTAAATGCAGATTAGTACAGCATGAGAATGCAAAAAAAAGAAAGAAAGAAGGAAATCTTCACCTCTCTTTCACCCTGATTGAATGGATGGCCGATATAAAGTGACATTCAGTGCGACTAATGCAGCAGAGGAAGGCGCAGTGAAGAAGCAGGGGGGAAATGACTTGTTCTAATGTACAGTGCAAATCTGACATGTTTACTCATTTAAACTTCATGTACCATTTGCCAAACTTGTCAGAGCACGTTGTGGGTAAGAGAAGCACAGAGTGTACCTTGCTGCTGATGTCCTCCCCAGAGACATTTTCTCTCTAATCACAAGCCAGGTAATGTTCTGTTCATTGTTTTCCTGCTTCAAATCTAATCTGCTGTGCGGACAATCGGCTGTGAGTCAGACATGTTTGTGAAAATTACTGCTGGGGTAATAACATCTCCAGGTTATCATCTTGGATCCTTCTGAGAAACAGTGCACAGGATGATGCGAGCAATGATGCAGGTAAAACAGTCATTTCTTCATCAGTTATTCTGCAGTCCTGTTTATTTTGTTCTCATCTGGTTTTATCTTTAAGAACAATTAAAAGCCACCGAACACCGGCTTGTCTAAAGGTTAGCTGGTGTGCTTGGGGGACGCTAATCTGTCATTTACCCCCTTAAAGTAACATTTATCAGAGCAATACACAATGATTTTATTCAACTATTTGAAGTCGATGATGTGAAGTCCTTCGAGGACAAGAGGACATGTTTTCTGCTCAGTGTGTCTGGTATCCTTTCACACCTGTATTTTTAGCCATCCTCATGTGATCAGCTCACCTTAGATGGATTTCGGTAACAGTTCTGTATAAAGCCCGAGATAAACCTCGGCCTCTTTCAGAGCATTGTCACAGCTGCAGCCCTGCCACCCTGCTATGCATCGCTCCTTATCATTCTTACTTCATCCTCTTATCTGCTACTCTGTCTCCAAAGTAGCCAATCCATTTTATCACCTTCTCTCCTCCTCCATTAAACCCAAACTTGTCCCTCTTAGTACCCCAACCTCCCCCCCTCCTCCTCCACTCTGAGGACACAGCAGTAGGGTGACATTCTCCCTAGCTAACTCTAAATGCCAGTTGCTTAATAATCACACTTTGATGCTTGTACTACAGACCTCCAGCATAGTCTCAAATCTCTGCCTCGGGGTCTGTTCCTCTTTTTGTCCTACTTCATCTTTAATGTTTCCCCCTCAAATTAACGCTGGGGAGGTCACTGGGGATGGGATTTTGGACCATCAATTTTGAAAAGGTAGCACAAGCTTCTGGATTCTTGCTGAGATTTTAAAGATGTCTGTCGTGGCATCTTCGAGCCAACAGCTATCTCTCTAGCAAACTTCGACCACTTCTCAACACTGTGCAAATGGCCCAGGCAGGTAGTTAAGACATTTCTGAGCTACACCAGTGCTGGGATCATGGCAGGCAATTGATCAAAAACCTCCAAGCAGACATGATGTTTTTCTCATTTTTTAGTGAGTTTATGGCTCCCTGCTGCACCCTGTGTTACTGTACCTGCAATCTTGATGTTCATGTGGCCATCCAGCAGCAGATTCTCTGCCTTCAGATCTCTGTGGACGATGTTTCGGTTGTGACAGTATTCGACTGCTGACAGGATCTGCCAGAACTTCCTCCTGGCCTCGAGCTCACTGAGGCGGCCGTGCTTTGCCAGATAGTCTGCAGCCAGGGAGACAGACATCAAAAAAGGGTGACATGTCAGGTTAGAACTATATGCAGATAATATTTTATATTGATTACATAACACGACTCAACGGGCCTTTCAAACACAGTATAAGGTATCACTGCATAGCCGAAAAGAATACGTTGGAGCAGATTTTTTATTCCACTGAGCGTTGGCGGTTGTGTTGAAAGGATAATTTACTTTTGATGAGGTGCAGGCCTGGTGCCAATAGTAGTTTACAGCTGCTCTGCATTACAGCATGCTTTGTATAGTGATTGAGTGCAAGACGTACGATGTAATTTTTCTTTGGAAACCCCTTTTTTAACCTCGTGTGTGTGAGTCGCTCAGTTGGTATGTGTGCATGTGTCAGTAGGCAGCGGCTGACAGTGTGTTGTCATAGCCGCAGGAGGAAGAGATTTCTGAGAATTGGTCTTCTGCTACATAACGTCCCCATTAGCTCAAGTTGGATCAGCCTGTGAGTTGGGGGGTTGGTTTAATCCCGACGCCAAGTTTGTCAGTGTAGGATTGCAGTTGGCGCACAAACATACAAACACACTTGATCATCAGCAGAACAAATCAAGATAGTGATGTAAATCTGAACCTGAGTTCTTATGTAATAAGCACCAAAAACATTAGATTTATTTGTTTATCTGCAGAGCTCTGACGGCGCACAGAGCAGTAAGAAACACTGAGTTTGCAGTTGTTTAGAAAGACACAAGAAAGTAAGTATATGCTGTCTCTAGGGAGCCAAAGTCATAAATTTAACTGTCTTCTTTTTCCAAGAATCCAGATCAGTGACCTTTTTCTTATTGTCTGCTTTCACGTGTCCTCATTCTTTTACCAACCTTTCAGTGTTCACTATTTTTTTTACAAAGTTGGCCGACAGACTGTTTTACAAGATGCATGATTTTTTTTTTTTTTCAGCCCCGTGAACTTTGAAAAGTGTGGCGTTTGTTGCTGTCGGCAGGGTTCCTCTTCACACCTCTCTGTCCAGATAGCTTGCTAACTCTTCAATTCACACTCAGTGGCAAACAAGATAGGACGCTCTGTGTTGGCTTTAGTTCCAACTGGCAGAGATACAGACCACTGACCAAACCTGACAACAATGCACAGCAACCACAACAAACCCCACCATCAAAGCATGATATATAAGTAAACAGAGAAACATGCCAAGTCAGTTTTATAGGACATCTTTGTAATTACATAGCAGCCAAAGACTTGCAGCTCAGTTTCCATGAGATGCTTGTTCTTGAATTTCCTTTCCTTTTTTACAGAGGTAATATTGCTGTGATTTCCCTGGTGTGCACGTAACTTTATGTAAAGGACATGATCCCTGATAGGATTTCAAAACCAGACCTCTGTCAAGATGCACAGAGAAGTCACACTAAATCACTTTCACAGTCCATTAAGATCAAAAACACTGTGCATTCAAAGTACAGCAACATATGTCCCGAGGCCAGCAACGTGTTCACGTTGTAAACACCTCATCTTAACAACTCTGTATTTCCACAGCTGAGGGTTGACTGAAGGGTCAGCTGTGTGTCAGGACGCATACTGTACAATAAAACTGGCTTAAACCCCAAAGCTGCACCACTAAACTTCACAGAAACGATGCTGTTCAATCGTCAACAGCACTTTTGATAAACAGCGAACATCTGGCAGAATGAGAAAACTTGATTAGAGAGTGGCTGGCAAATTCCATAAAGGAGGCCCTTCAGTGACCAGGGCAGCTTTCAAGCGACGCTGCTAATCAAAAAACACACTGGGGAGGGGAATGTGTCGAGGACGTCCAAGTATGCACCTGTGAGAAGAAGCGGACTCTGAAGTAATAATCTTTCCCGGTTTGCCTCCATCTCTTTAAGGCATCAGTATGGGTTGACTAAAAGTGGCTGTCAGGCACTTAAAGAGCCACAAGTTGTATAAAATATTCTCTGACCAAAAATGGCTTATCTCTGTCATCACAGAGGGACACGAGGCATGAAAATCAATCCAACACAGCGCTAACGGCACACACTTTCAGACAATCTTTCCTTTATGGAATTCATGGCGTTAGACTTGTTTGCACACTCAATCACTGGAGTAGTTTTGTGAGGAAACGGAAGAACCCCTGATGAAACTATGTGCGTGATAGGGCTATGTGTTGGATTGTTTTATGAAAAAATAAGATTCTTTTTTTATACAAGTGTATGAAGCTGCTTGACCATACAACCAACACTGATGAAAACAACAATTTTTAAACAGACATTGAAGAGATATCCATAAGGCAATACAATGACATTTTGGGTACAGATTAAGAAATCTTGGGTTGTAACTTCAAATCAATTGCATTATCAATCTGATCGGAGTGTTTTTATGAATTAAGATTGCCTATTGGGTCAAACCAACAATCAATAACCCAAGTATATTCATTTTATTACTATAGAAGACTCAGAAAGCTGGCAAAAATTCACCTTTGAGGGGCGAGAATCAGCAAATTTACAGCATATTTGGCTTTCAAGCTCAATAATTTATTAATTTTCTTTCAGTTGACTTTTTCCAGCTCTAAAAAGATTCTGCTTTAACACTTGCTCTCCAAACAGACCACAACTTGTCTTAGTTCTGTACGAACAGCAGCACTGTGTTGCTACTGCTTGTTCTACAGTAGCACTTGAAAAACAAGCCATTACTGTTTGAGCAATCAACACTGCGCAGCCACATACGCACATACACACACGCACACACGCGCACACACACATACACACACACACAATGCGGCATGTTGCCCCAGTGGAAGGATGAGTAATCCACTGATACAATGTTGGTGAGGGTAAGGACCTCGGCACAGTGAGGCATGCAGAGCTGCATTCTGGGAAAGCGAACAGAACAAGTATGAATCATAGGGGTATTAGGGAACAGCTCAACAAGCACTGTGTTCCACTTCTGCTGAGAGCTGGGTGAGGAGCTAAGTCTCTCAACAGCTGCTCAGGTTTGGAGGGGACAAATATCATGGGTACAGACTGGCTTGTTGGATAGACCTCTGGCTGGACTTCAGATAACACTGTGGAGTTTGCATGAGTGTGTGTGCGTGCGCATATAAAGGACAAGGGGCAAACACACAGTCTCACACACACTCTGTTGCCACATCAGTAACTGATACCCAAACCGCTTAAATACAGCAGCCACATTAAAGTCACATTTATATGCCTGTTGATAGATGTCGGTGCTGATTTAATACTGGCCCCCTAAGGGGTTAAGGTGGACTGGAGCCAGCTGGAGCTGAGCGACGTACTTTCATCCAAGTTATAACCAGTCAAAGATCAACTGCAGTTACTGGTTGCGACAGTTAACTCCGTTGGATAAATGCAAATACACACTCAGATAAAAAGAAAAACCCTGTTATGTCTAAAACAAACCAAAAAAAAACAAAGCTCTTAACTTAGACCTGCACATCCCACCCACTTGTACACTTCTGATTCAAAATTATTGGCTATTTATATCCACCTCTTGTCAGGCTGGATCAGTTGATTAGTCAGAAATTCCACAGAAAACCAGCAGCTAATTTGGATAATGTATCCATTATTTGAGTTGCTGGCTTTACCATTGAAATTTAATAATTTGCTGGTTTCTTTTTAAATTTTTGATAATAAACTTATTCAAAAGCTACTTCAATGATGAGCTCAGAGAAACGAAAAGCAGCTTTTAACTATTTTTTTAAGTTTCACAGAAAATCGATCAGACAAATAACAGCCATTTGGCACTCATTTAGAAGTTAAAGTGGTTCATACACAAATAAATTAATCTTTTTAACAATCCTTTAATGTTCCTACAGGATTTAATTTTTTTTTGCATGCTTTATACAGAAGCCAAGATGTTATTTACAGGTGTCACCATGTTATCTAAGTCTATGAGTCACACCAGGAGATGAGTTAGATTATTATATCACGCAGGCACTGACATATAAATGACCAATAAAATCAAATCACAGCATTAGTCAAACACCTTTCAATTTAGTTGTACAGATGCTGCTATTTCATCTGGGGTGCAAAACATTCAGCAAGAGTTGAAGTTTTCATCAAAAAGGAATTTTGCAGCACCAACATGTGACTGCACACACGTGGCTGAGCATATTTTTGTGGATGAAAAACATGGCTCTTTTGAGGTGATGTTATAATAGTGATGGCAGGATCTTAGATTTATTGAACCATTGACTAGTAGTATTACTTTAGTATTGAAAGATGCCACTTAATAAATACTCCTGATTTCTTAACACTTGAGATCATGTAGATCACATTACCTCTGTCAGTTTGTCAGGTGGATAATTAATGCCAGTGCCACAGAGGAATTTTCATAGGTCATAGAGATGAAAAAGTGAATATATTGATACTAAGGTGAATATAAAACATAACCAGGGGCAAGTAAACTAACAGGTGAAGTAGCTAATAAAGAATGAAATAGCATATTATGCCTTAAACTTTATGTTTGCTGTAAGACTGACACTGTGTGAAAATGCAGACATCTCGGAAGTAAAACAATATTTATACATGTTCTGAGTTGTTTATTTCCAAATGTCTGCAATCACTGTCGACAAGAACAAATTGCCTCAGCTCAAATGTAGAAAAACATGTCAGGTTGGCACATTTTGCTTCTACCATTTTTTTTGTACAGCAGACGGATCCTTGAAAGCTGCTATGTAAGATGCTACCTGTCACTCAACTGAAAACATTTCTAAAAGGAGGAAATCTGCTCTCTTCCCGGATCACCTAAACTACATACTAAAAGGTAGAAATTAGGTATCAGAATTTAGATAGTAAGGGATTTTGCCTGTGTCCAAGATGGAAGTTCTAAAAATGTCTTGTTTGACCCTCAATTCACAGATGTTCAGTTTACTGCCATAGAGGAGAAAAGAAACCAGGAAATATTCACATTTAAGAAGCTGGAATCAGATAATTTAGTTTGTTTGATCTTCTGATTAATAATTCAATTCATTGCTCTACTCTAATGTCAGGTGAGAACACAGAACAGCGGTTTAAGTCTGTGTACTGGCCTTTGTCATTCTAATCTATTTGGTCCAATTGTGTGCAATTGTTTAGCTTCAGTGCTGTTGGTTGACTCAACAGCAGCAGGTGAAACGTCGTCTCAAACACTGTTTTGCTGCAGATCAAATGTCAGTGCTATTTTTTTTTGCTGTTGGAAAAGGATACAACAAAAGAACATCCAGATTTCAGGTTTAATATCATTATCAGCTAATATTTACCTAAGAAACACTTAAACAGTATAAGTTGAAGTTTAATTAGGAAAATTGGGACACTAAGAGTGGATAAACTTCTTCGTACCATGTTTGGGTCATGAAAGCCTTGAAAGATTTATTTATTTTTGTTGCCGAACAACAGGTCCTACTTTGAGCAGATATTCCTCCTGTCAACTATGTGTTTCGTCTTGAGGTCATCAAAGTCAGAGCTGCCACACCCTGGTGGCTGACAGATCTGCAGAAAACTGACCCAGTAATATGAAGGATGGTTTATGGAGAAATACAAACTGACAGCCTATGTAAATAAGAACGTGTCTCAAAAATAGCCTGAGTACTCCTTTGAAGTCAACATTCTCCGTGTCTCATTCCCTTCCCAACAGTCAGACGAGAGATCTGCATGAGTGATTTTACTCACTGCCAGCTATTATACTTCCCTCTCTCCAGCAGTGCTTTCTTAAATATGCATGCCCTACATTTCCCCACCACCTTCCAAATTCAAATGGATGTCCCCTGCTCTCGCCTCCATTCTCTTCTGCCTCCTCTCCCCTCCTGCCTCTGCTCTCTGCATCTCTGCTTTATTTGTGGTTGACCCAATTTCCAGGTTTGATCCATCCTGCGGTGTCGAGGCAGACTGTGGAGCGATAGACTGACTGACAGACACAAAGGCACATCAACAAGCTGGCATCGATGCCTCCGCTGTGCCCATTACTGTGCCCACCTACCCTTTTGTAAGAATGAACCCATCACTCTCCGCCTCCCAGTGCCAAACCCAGATCCGCTTCTTTGTCTTCGCGGCTCCAGACACACACGCTACCCCTCCTGCTCCTCCACAACACCATTTACTGTTTGGTCTGAAGAGAGAATTGGAGGCTCATCCATCGTCTCACTGATTCGCCGTAACAGGGTGGGCCGCTAAGCATCCACTACACTGCAACTTCACATCTTTCGCTCTACGTAACCTACGGCCAGGAGCAGACCTGAGAAATTCATCATGTCAGAAAAAGCAGAGCGAGCTCTCTGGAGGGCTGCAGTGGAGGAAGAGACTGGAGAACTGGCTTGGCAGCTTATCCATTTGTCTGAGTGCATCATGACTCAATGACTTGATCCACCTCCAGAAAGTGTATTTGGAAATCAGAAATGATTGTTCAATTTTGTGAGATTGAATACTGTAATACTAGTCTAGTGCTGCAGCTACCAGTCGGTGTCTGCCTGGCTGAGTCGAAGCTGCTATTGCTGCCGCTGATGATGACATATAAACGTCTTACATAACTACGTTACATTGTGCAATCAGGGCAGAGGGGTCTGAGGAATCAGGACACAAGGGTTTTATAATAACCAAAGATGAGCCAGGAGAATATCTATAGCAAGATGAGGCGGACCAATCATGACTGGTTATTTAAAGGAATAATTTGACACTTTGGGAAATATGCAAACTCTCGCTGAGAGTTGGATGACAGGATTGACACCGCTCCCGCACTTGTGAGGTAAATATAAAGCTACAGCCAGGACACAGTTAGATGGGAAAGCACCAGTGCCTCATTATAATTGGATGGAGCCAAACCGGCTATTTCTCTCAGGCTTAATGCTAAGCTAAGCTAAACTTCTCCTGGCTCTACACTCATATTTAACAGACACTAATTCTTGGCATGTTAAAACAATGTGGAACTTTAAAAAAAAAAAAAATTTAAAGAGTGTCCTGCAAAGTGCGGGGATTGTAGCATTCCTGTCATTACATAGCCTCGAGGTTAACACGACTGCTGTTGGCTCAAACTACAAAAAGCTGCAGCAGCTACAACATGTGCACGAGTAGCAATGAGTCCCTCCATCTTATCTCTGTACACTTCTGTGCTTCCTTCAGAGTTTTTTTTTCCCTCCTTTTTAACCACGCTCTTTTTCCTCATTCATTTATTTTCTCGGGTTTGTTTCCCAGCTCTCTCTAGGTCACAGGAGCAGGAGTTGCTGCTGCTGCTGCTGCTGCTGCTGCTGCTGAGTCAACATCACAAGTGGAACACTGGCCTCAGAATTACAAAGATATGTACACGCACGCACAAACAAAACGCACACACTCACACAACAGACGTGACTATTAAGGCCACCGTAGACCATAGCTTGAGTAATCCTCTCAGCTCTTGTGTCTGGAAGTAGGCTAAATGCAAACATTCTCAGACTGTCTAATAGGTGAGGTCGTTTATCTGTGCGGTTTATGAAGCCTTTACAGGTTGTCCGCATCAGACAGGTCTACACTTGTTCTAATATTTCATGTTGAATGTATGACTTGCTTCATGTCTGCATGTTCAAAACTGGAATATTTCCAAGGTTGTTTAGCTTTTCAAAGGAATAGCGCAGCTTTACTTCACCGAAACATTTACAATCTGACAATATATACAAGAAACTGCATCTTCTTTAGGCTCATGTCCAGTGTTCTGGATTAAATGTTGCAGCATGCACATGTTGTGCTAACCGAATGCGTGTGCTGTGAATGTGTGGCGGCGATAGACAGCGCATAGTGCCGTGGCAGACGAAGATAAATTCTTATCTTTGTACTATTTTTTGCTATGTTTTGCCTTGTCTGTTCTTTCTAGCACAAGTGTCTTTATATGTGCATCAGACTAACATAGCGTGTAACATTTCTACTCACTTTCAAGTGCAAAGAGTCACTACTGTTTCTTCCGTGTTCAGACTGTCCACTTTGAAACCTGAATCAAGCCTACTTCCTTTTTAGGCCATTTTGTTTCCCAAAACTTAAAGCTGCAACTTTATTTAGTATCGTGTTGTTCAAACTGTCTTACAGGTCCAAAAGGAACAAGACAAGATCAAGATTTTTTTCTCTGTGATCTGCTTCAACTATTTGCAAATTGTGTCAAGACAGCCACATTTTGTCTTTTTTTTTTTCTTCTTCATTTGAAAACAATTATGAAACACATTCAGGCTGTGATGATGAATCATAGGTTTTCACAGAACTTCTGATTTGCAGCGTTCACGGTTCTTAATGTGAAGAAGACCGATTATGTGAGTGCTGCAGGTTTAAAAATCAAGAACAGTGCATAAAGTGTGCATGCAGCTTTAGCTTGTTTAATGATGTTTTCACCGTCCCAGTCTCTTATAAAAGAGAAAAATGTAACGCAGCTGAAACAGTTAGCAAATTGATAGATTAGCTGATCATTAGAAAAATAACTGTCAAAGATTTAAATCATTTGTTTATCATTTAAGTTTTTTAAAGTGGCAAACATTCTAGCTTCTCAAATGTGAGAATGTACACCTTCTATTTGTCCTCTAACAGAAAATGTATTTCTTTTGGACATAAACAAAATGTGATGGACAATTCTCACTCTCTAAATTCTTGCTTTGGGGAGGACGATTTACTGAGGCTGGAGCTGCTTGGTCTCTCTTGACACACTTTTCACTTCTGTTATCTCCTACAATGCTGTTTGTATGGAGCAAATAAAGATAAACTGAACAAAAGTAATAGCTTGACCTGTAAAGCTACCTATGAAACAAATGCTCTTAAGCATCCAACCAGGGTAGATCAAAGGTTAAACAGACAGCGTTTAGATTAAAGCTGAGTGCCATGTCAATGAAAGTGGAGGAATGACGCAAGTAATCTTGATATCTTGCATAATCTGAACACTTCAGTAGTAAACTGCTGCGGTGCGAGTGATTCTGCAGCACATATAAGTAATAAATCAACGTTTTTCTCTTTGAGGCTGCTTCTTAGCGACCTATACGGGCTGTCCATGATGTCATTTTATATATCAAGAAAACAAAGTCAGCACATTTGCTACTAGAAGCACATGACAAGGGTTACACTAGGACATTGTGGGCAGATTTCCATCAATCATATGACCTTTGAGACTGAGGCTGGGACAACTGTGAGAGCAACGCAAACTCAACAAGACTTTGACACTTCCTTGTTTGTCAAAAACATTACTGATGCAACAGAGCAGATTTTCTTTTAAAGCTGATATGAAGAGGATGTAAATGACCTGGGTGGGGCAATAATTCTAGGGTCAGACTGATCTTGTACTTGAAAAGATCACTCACCGAAGATTTCCCCATTCTTGGCATACTCCGTGACTAAGTAAAGCATGTTCTTCGTCTCCATCACCTGAGAGAGGGAGAGGACGAAGGAACAGGGGCCAAGGGAGGGGGGAGAGAAAAGTGGGAGAGTGAATATACACAGAAGACCAGTTTTCAATCGCAAATGTCATCAGATTATTCAAATTCAAAAACAGTCTCCTGCAATGAGAGAAAATTAGAATAAGGAGAGAAAAAAAATCCATAACCACAGATAAAAATGACCAGAGCGTTACACAATTGTCCACAGGAGTCACTCTGCAGGTTAAACCGCAGTGTTTGGCATCCACAAAATCATGAGCAAAACAAAATGCATGAATGGCTCAGGGTCTAAATATGGCATCCATGTAAGAGAATGGAGGTGGACGGTTGGTGTTGCCGAGTATATCTGAATGGTCCTTAAAACCTTTCCGTCCTCACACTGAGCTGTGTTGTGTAGGAGGAGGACCGATTTAGCAACAGAAACACTCCGGAGATGAATAGAATTAAATGCGGAGGGGAGAATCAGATGGAGAGGGGAGGATGAATCAGACACAGCGAGCCAGACATTCACACTAGAAATCCCACGCTCATTGTTTATGATCAATTTTCCATCTGTTACACTGACCGATTCATGGATTTAGGAAATGAAAGACTTTTTTTTTTTTCCCCAGTTGGTCTTGGTTGTGTAACAGATACATTTTGTCCTCTCTGATTACAACTGATTGATTAATTAAGCCCGGGTATTGGTGCCCAGTTGTGAGCCAATACAGCATCAAATCTGGAAAGTGAGCCGTCCTCACAGCAGACATTTTAACTTGTCACAGCAGGAAAAGCACAGGTGTAACTAATAGTATTACCAATGGCTCCGTTTCATTTTCGGTGTGCCAGTGAAGCAGCGTGAACAGTAGCAGGGCCCTGGCACTGACGCACCTGAGTGGAATGCAGCCATTATTAATGATATTACTTACACCTATGTTTGACATGATACAACGTCTACAGTGGTAGAGTTTGTATAAATTATGTTGTCTGTGCAAATATATTGTCTGTCATGATTCCATCACCTGTTTAAGGTCATGTATTCATTTTTTATAAACCACTCTGGAGAGGCAGTGTACAATGATACTAATGTCAATAAAATACAACAGTTTCCATGTTCTACTTTATACAGTTGTTGGTCAGGGACAACACACAATAATTAACATTCACGGTTGGCCGATTATAAGCATAGCCGACCATCAGATCCAATATTTAGCATCTTTCCGAATAATGGCATTGCTAACATTTTAAAACGGATTCCTGATAAAAAACAAAACAAAACAATGAATTCAAACATGTGCTACTTGGCGTCCCTCTATCTGCAGTCACCATTCGCGCAGTGTCCCGCCCACGTCACTATCTGATTGGTTACATGTCACAACTAACAGTCTGGATAGGATAAAACGAATACATGTTGAATAGTTCTATTTTAGTTAAACGTGCAAAACAGAAATAAACCAAAGTTGTTTCTTGGAGTTTGTATTATTGTAAATTTTGACACAGATTTTAATTTTTACTGCAATTATATATCGGTCCCAACTATTGGTTATTGCTGCCATATCATACTCTGTATCGACCTGAAAAAAGAAAAAAACAACATATTGATCGAGCCCTAGTTTGCATGAATATGATGCGCCTGTGTGAGTGTTGAGCAGTCGCTGGGAACGCTGATGTCATACAGTATTGATATTGTACTTTGATTTTTGACCCTTTACCCTGACAAATTAACATTTTGCTGATAATAATAGTCAGATTTTCCATTGCAGACTGTCTGATCAATGATTAACTAAACAAGACAATGAGGTATTCATGAAAGATGTTGATATTATTTATTACATATTGGTCTACAGGAAGGTCAAGTTACAAAGAGTTGTAAGAGAATTACTATTTTGAATTCCAGGCACCAAGACATGCAAACTGCCCTGTTTGGTCAGTGATTCATGGGGCCTGATGTTGCCCTTTGACATGTACTGTGATGACACGACGAGTAGGTTTGAAGATCATTTAGACATGGATTTTGAAGACTAGGCCATGAGGAAGAGGAGCTGCAGTTCCTGAGGTGAATTACATGCTGTATATGTATGTAATGTTTTAATACAAGTGTAGTAAATGAATAATTCATAATTTAAAATGTAATTATTTTAATGGGTCTAACATCAGGCATTGATACATTGCAGTGTAGAGGATATTGATTTAGGGTCATGATCCATCCAATAATATGCTTAATGTATTCAAGCCTTTCCTGTAACATGATTGATATGCAAATGAACTTTGTACTGGTATCACTATGAAAGTACTGACAGACAGCGAGCGGATTCGTAATTCTGAAAGTGATCATTTTTACTATTTAAAATCTGTAATTGTAGAAAGACATTTGGCAGCTTAGAATATGAGGGAAAAAGGTAAACTGAACATCCAAAAGATTCAGAGGCTGGTGAGACATGAAGGCATAGAAAAAGAAATTGACGGCCGACTGGGGTCAATAGAGAGGAGGCCACACAACACATGGCGAAGTGAAGTGGGGTCCACAGTTGGTTTTGTCTATATCTTTGTGCGTCTTCATTAGCTCGGGCTTTCCTCTGGGCCACAGGGCCAACTCCAGTTTATGAGACTGGAAAGGAAATCGCTAATTGACGAGAGCTGATTGGATGGATAGGTCGTCGGAAATAATGAAACACACCAAAATAACACAGCAGAAGGCTGGAACAGTGCCACATGGTTGTGTAATGATAATGAACACTCATTTACTTTCCCTAAACAAAGTAGCAGGACCCAAAGGCTTATGTAATACGACTGAATCACCAAAAACTGTCGAGTTATTGGTGGTCAGGTTATTTTGTGACAGGCATCAGCCACCGCAGCAACGAGGTGAAACGAGTCTGCCTTTCTCTGCCTAACACACCAATAAAGTGCAACAACCAGAACAAATCATTGAAAGAAATGTACTTTTGTGGGTCTCGTAAAATTTATGTGGACTTCCCTCATATACCTGGACATGCTTACAGTTACTGTAAAGGTGTCAAGGTGGCACAAGGGAAGTGACATTTATGGGTTTTATTTCTCTAAAATATTTTTAGCTCACCTGATACTACGGACAATGAGCTCTGTTTTAACAGCGTAGGTCCACTACACAGCAATGTTACTACATACTTCATTACTTTTATAGCAATCCAGTTCTTTCTGCTTGAAATCATGCCACAATAAAGCACAAATCTGAAGAATTAATCATGACACACAATTTGGGAGTTTATAGTTTGAAAAGAAAGCCATGGTGCACGATGCAAGGGACACAGAAAGCAGGACATCTTGACTCATCATGGTGTGAAAAGATGTTATTAATAACATTACCAACAGCTTTGCCTGATTCAACTGACCCAGTGAGTTGTGACAGGCTGACAGTGAAACATTCACAATATCCGGGCCTCAGAACTGAAGCAGATGAAGAGAATGTAGCCGTCATTAGTTTCAATAATTACACTTCTGCTTTCCTACTGTGACATGTCAGAATGTGAAGATGGTTTATAGGAACAGGAACAAGACCAGAGTTTACTATAAATTGTTCAAGTTTTAAACTGCAGATTGTGACTGAATCGTATGACTAATGTGTCCAGAGAATGTCACAGACAAACTAGTACACCAGTTTGATTTTCTTTCTTCAGCACCCTTTAATCCTATAATTAGTTTAAGTTTGTGCTTATGACCTAATTATCAACTTAGTGACAATGATTGACCTGGTCCAAAGTCAATTCTTAACACGCCCAAGAGCCACGTCGCAACTTGTATTTTTACCAAAGCAACAACATCGCGCTTTGCTTTACTTTGTCAGCATGAAGCTCACGTCTTCGTGATAGTCTTCTTTGACCTTTTGCGATAAACATCATGAAATCAAATATCTAAGGAGGCTGCTTGTAATGTGGCACTACTTGTGGTAGTTGCTCAGTCACAAGGCTAAAGTCATTATGTTTGATTTCCATTTGATACTAATACATATTTAAAATCGTACTGCAAATTTCCTCTAATCAACTTTTGCTTTGAGTCTTTTTAGCTAAATAATTGCGCAAACCAGTACAACACAGCATTTTCATGTTCAAATAAATACTTTTTCAAGGTCCTGCTAAGTCAGGGCACGCTGATAAGACTTAATAATGCTCATTAAACAAGCCGTTAATCTACTATGACCTAAACTAGATATTTACATGAAAGGTGGCCATTCTCACAGCAGACTGTATTAATGATGGCTGCATTACATTTATGACAGGTCCTGCTATTGTGCTTTCTGGTTCACTGGCATGGTTTAATGGAAGTCAGCCATCACTAACACACCTGTGCTTTCCCTGCTGTGACAAATTGTCCACAAATGAAAGAGGTGTATAAAAAGTGTGGATGTGAAATCAACACAGGTCAGATCTGATGGTGCAGAACTATAATAAAACATGTAATTTTTACCATCTTTAGCTACAAATTATATTTAGTTTATGTCGTGCCAGTAGCACCTTCATACAGTGCAGAACACATACAGAGACGCAAACAGTGCAGCGAGTCAGTCAGTCATTAACTATGCTCTCATATCTTTAACTATCCAGCAGAGACAGGTTCTGCTAGGCAGCAGTTGTTTGCTAATGCATTAGAAAATGGCCTGGATTGGTCTCGCGCTTCAACACCCTGGCTGCTTAAGTACCTGAAAAGAAGATCAACATGGAGCAGTGGTGAAATCTGCTATAGGCCCCCTCAACAGATGTCACATTGCGCCTACACTGCAACGCATGTTACATATTACAATCTCACCCCTGCTCTCTGAGGGGCCTCTTTTGACCAGGGGCCAGTTTCATGGAGACAGACTGAATATGGTTTAGATCTAACCAACTTCCCAGAAATAAGATAGATGTCTAAATACACGTCTCAAGGAGGACAAATTTGCAATGAATTCTTGGTTGATAAAGCTTTCGAAACCAAAAGAAAACACTGATGGTTGATTTGGGGAATGTTTTTCATCTAAAAAAATTGAAGTTCAACAGACGATTTACTGGGAAAGTAATCATAGGCTGTAACAATACATTTCAAGAGGGACGTATTGTCATTTAATGGCAGAGCGGCAGCCATTATATAATATATAATATTATGATGTAATGGTTCCAAAACTACAGGTGAGAATATATATATTAAGGCTCCCTGAGAGTTTACCTCTCCTTCCCCATCAAGCGAACATAAGATTGCTTATGCATACCCACAAATAGAGATCCATTCCATAGCGTTTGTTGCTAAGGTTGCTCAGTTTGTTGTTGGCAATGACCACAAGCTTATTTCCAATTTTTTGTTCAGAGTTTTTTAAAACTGTAAACCATGCAAAGTGTGGTTGTGGACCCACAAATGAAAAATTCTGAAAATGTACATGCTTCTTTAAAAGAAAAAATCAGATTCGGAGATGTTAATCCCAGTCAACGGGAGCATCAATCATAGACTCTGGATAGCTTCGGATCATGTCCTCATGACTGCACATTTCATATATTTTGACACATTACTGCGCTCTCTAAAACCTCTGTTGCTTCTCATTAATCGCTCCACAACACTCTCTCCAAACCACAGATTACGACCCACATTTTCCTCTTATTTTATAGTTTCTTGCCACTGGTCAACAGGTCTCACTGATTGTTGCCACACAATTATGGCTCTTCTGAGTTAGCCTCAAGATAAAAGGGATAGCTTTGTAGGTTTAAAATAAGTACTTTTATCTGTGAAACTTTTTCTGCATCAGACTAATCTTAAGGTACAATTAAGAACAGCCTAATGCTGAAAACTAGTTTAAAATGTCTGGACCGAGCAGCTCACACTGCTCCTTAGAACAGTTTACATTACTGCGTGAATCTTGGCATATGTAACAGCCATTACAGCTTTTACTAAATTTAAAAATGTTTTTGTAAACATGTCATGGAAAATGATTTTACAAAGATTCCTGTGTGATATACTAACTAGTGTAAATGCCTCCAGTGTAGTGACGCTCTTCCAATATCGCTACGACAATAACAAAGACAGACTGCGAGGAGTTGTGACGGGACAGGTCAAAGAAAGAGTTAAACCGAAGCACCCAAGACAGAAACAAATCTCCTGAAAATCTCTGACTGAAACAGCTTGTCAAGCAAGAGAAAAAAAAAAACTATGCAAAAATACTGAATTTACAAAATAAGAAAACAATTTAACTTCACAGCATTACAACATGGAGGAATCACAATTCACAAAGACATTTCCATTGAACAAGGACATTAAATACATAAGAAACCAGATAAGCTGATGATATATTGTAGCCTAAATAAACAAAAGCAGCACCTCAATTAAGATGATTACTGTTGTCTACATCTTGCACCCTAAGCAAACAGAAGATGATGAACAGCCACTGAAGCTGCAAACTCACCTGGTAGAGCTTGATGATGTGAGGATGGTCCAGCATTTTCATGATCTGAACTTCTCTGTAAATTTTCTCCAGGTTGACAGCATCCAGTTGGGTCTTGTCGATGATCTTAATGGCCACCTGCAGAGCGATCAAGCATCAACAAAACAACCGTAAATAGTCGGTTTCTTAATAACAGACAGGCTCACATTAACATTCTTGTTGCAAAAAGAAACCATGTGTTTTTGTCAGACGAAAGAACATAGGCACAAGATAAATGCTTGAATACAGCTTGTGCTGAAACCTTCATAAACAGTCCTAAAATCTGAGCTATGATGAAAACTCATACAAAAAGGTGCAGCAAAGGCAAACACATGCCTTACTGCATACACACACGCCCACAACGGCACGAACATTCGTAAAGCTCACACTAAAAACTTCAACACTCTTGGCTTTGATTAATGATGTCTGGTAGGTAACAAGGCAATATTAACATCTCCCCTTCAGACTGTCTCATAAACAACATTTCATCAGTGTGATCTGAAGTGTTCCAAGCATCTGTGAGCCAAGCTGGAGGAATAAACAACAAGAGACCCTGGTTCCCTGCAATCACACCACCATCAGATGAAGCTAGAAAACTCACACAAAAACAGGACCGTGTTAGAAAAAACAAACAAAACAAAAAAAACACACAATACACAAGTGTCCTGATTCAATTACCAACTAGACTGAGCTGAAACGATTAACTGATCAACTGGGAGAGAACTATTCTGACAACTGATGAATCATTTAGTTATTTCCAGGCAACAACTGGCACAGAAAGTCTCAGCTTTACAAATGTGAATATTTGCAGGATTTCCTTGTCTTCTATGATATTAAACTGATTATCTTTGGCTTTTGGACTGTTAGTCAAACAAAACAAGCTATCTGAATGTGGCAACCTGAGTCTGAAAATAGAGTAACCAGTAATTGGAATGCAGCTGCAGCCACTAAGTGAGATGATGAAACAGAATAAAGGAAGGCGACTTTAGGTTATAGATCCATGGCTTTTTTTTAAAAGGCTTATCAGACGCCAAAACACTGCAGAGTGGATTAGAGTACAGTCTGATACAGGATTTTTTGGAAACTTATCACACTGACAGTCATTTTATCCTCTATCTTGATAATAAGATAAACCAGCTGTGGAGTTTTTAAAAATATTTGACCAGGAATGTGCAGTTGCATTGACTGGCTATCACAGTCCATCGATGAGTGATGGCAACAACGTGTTACAGCAACAGTTGAGCAAGGTCCAATGCTTTTAGCTAGATGACAATGCATTTTTTTTTTCTTTTCTGCTCTGACGTGCCTACAGTGTCAGTGCAGTGGAATCACCGAAATAATAAGACAGTGTATTTTCATATGCAGCTCATACCAGTGTGAACACGGCCTTATATATGGTCTTAATCTTAAAGAGAAGTCTGCCGCCTATTTTGATCCACTTTTAGCATATTTGTAGTTACACTGTAATTATAGACGAGCGGTAATGGGTGTTTAAATAGGTTTAACACTCTCCATTATTATCTCCCCAGCCACGGTACAGACGGGTACGCAATTTGGCATTAAATCCTATGAAGAAATCCAAATCTTTTAATGGCACTCCAGCTACAAGTCCAGGCCTCAAGGGGATAAAATATAAAATCTCTGGTCTAGTACAAAGGGGACTACAGGGTACTTAACATGAAAAGATCTGCGCTAACTGATTACATTGTCAACAATACTAAACACACACACACACAGCATAAGACTTTTTGCAAACCATACTGGCACAAGGTCATTTGAGGACAATGAGATACAGGGGAATTTAGCTTATAGGGAATGGGAGCAAAAAAGGCAGGACGACGCTATAATGAGATATGGATAAATATGCGACCTGCAAGAGGCTGATAGACAGAACCACATGGGAACGGGCCAGGACTATGCAAAGCCACAAGCTGCAATATGTACATAATGGGATGAATGGGTCAGTATAACACGCAGGGGCCATGGGAAGAAAAAGTAGGTTACGCACACAGAGATGCACCTATCTAGGAATATGCACACACATACACACCGACGCACCAGATCTGCTGTTTCATGTGTCATTAAACTTGGGTTCTTCTTTACACACACGCACCGGGCTAACATCTCTTTTTTCTCCCCTGGCACATTCTCAAGCCAGATGGCATCACATGAAGTTTGATAACCTGCCTCTCCAGCTGACCTTGGCCACTGAAACAAACCGTCTGGGCCCGGCTGAGCCAAGCAGCTGCAGTGGCTCTTGCAGCACTGAGTGACCCCTAGCAGACCGGTGGCCTGAAAGCAACCATCCATGTTTCACAGAGCCAGCTGAGGGAGACCTGCATCCACTCACCTGCATTCATATTGCAGTTAGTGTTGCATGCTTGTAAATTACCTCGCTAGACTAACACTGCACCACTTTGCAGGCTTTAATAACCAGATTAACATGATAAGAGCCTTAAGAGCCATTTTCATGCCCTGTTATTCATTAAACCTTGCGAGGGGTCTTGCCTGGATGATGTAAATCTTTGTTTTTCAGTACAGTACAGTCGCTCACGTTCCACAGCAAACAGTTGGATGCTCCAGAGATCAAAGATTAAAGTGTGCCACTGTGCTTTCACAAATGTCCCTGCCCTGTGTGTGTTTATCTCTCCCCCTGACTCACAAAACACAGCTTCTTTTCCGCACAGACTGAACACTGGTTACAGTAAATTCCTTGTGTCTCTGTCATTACAATGGAAAGCCATGGCACTCCGTGGTACTGGTTGAGAAAGGCGTCTCTGCAGAAAGCTGACATAAAACTACGAGTAAACTCAGACAAATCCGAGCACTGTTCCCTCTGCTCTGCTCTCATGCGGCATCGCCTGAGTGTGTTGTGATATCAAGCAGACCCCCAAAAACATTGCTGTCTACATACGTGCATGCAGAAAACTTTGCAATTACACAGCACTGGCTGGCTGGCTGGCTGGCTGGCATATTCCCTGCTCCTCACAAAGCTCTGGGCACTGCTGGGGACAAGAATCCACTAAATCACATCATTATTTGGATTACATAATGGGACCACCGACCCATGCTTGCACGCCCCAGATACAGCGACTGGGATGTTTACACCAAACAGACTCTTGAGGTAGCACACTGTGGGCACTGTGTCTGGGTCATTAACCGAAGAGGAGCGCAGGTGTATGATGCCGGTGTGGCGTAAAATAAGACGGCATTGCATGTTTACAGTGTGTGTTTCCCAGCAGCACCCGGCGGTCAGGGCTCTTACTGGCAGCGACGTTGGCTGAGGAGGGGTGAACGTGCAGCCGGACACTGCTCCTGTACCTGCAGGAGGATCCCAAACACGCCAGCTGTTGCTCCTTGCCAGCCAGTTCAACCTGATCCAAGTTGCTATTAGTGCAACGATGTGGACAGCATTTCGGTATCTGCTGTGAATATCTGGGGAGTCAACTAGTGCATAAAAAGTTATGTAACTCAGCAGAACAGTAGCCTAAGTTAGCTTTTCGGGCTAACTAGTTCACCCGACACACTCACCTCGGTCTTGGTAATGCGGTGTCGGGCCAGCTTGACGACAGCGAAATTGCCCTTTCCTAAAGTGCGCTCGATGTCGTAGAAGCCCACTCGGACCGGACCCCGGATCAGCGGTTTCTGGACACTGTCAGCCATGACCATGCTGTTCTAAAACGGGACTGTTTGTGGAAGAGTAGGAGGCAGCCAGACGAGCGAGGAGGAGGAGGAGGGGGACACACGAGGGGCTCCTCTCTCACCAACAGACACACGGTGCTGCTTTTTTCCCCCCTTCTTCTTCTTTTGCTCGAGCAGCTACAGATAAAGACGAGAGGAAAACAAACCGCCCGCCGCCGCTTCTGCTGCTTCTGCCGCCGCCGCCGCCGCCGCTCGAAGCGTGTCCATTAAAAATAGACAAAGTTGATTTCTGTGTCGCCCTGCCAGCTTGGACGCCGATGTGGCGACGCTCTATCCGTCAGCGCGGCGATACGAAGCAGGCCATTTGCTGAGCCCAGGGGCTGTCACACCACGTTCTCCAATACAATAGAGCTCTAATATTTCAGCTTGAGGTGCCTCTATCAGCTAGAAAGCACACGAGTTGACTTGCAAAGAGGCATCATGTTCTCTGGTTGACGTGTATTGACGTCAAAGCCATAGGGGTATTTGTACAGGGGGCGGGGCCACGGAGCGGCTCCACACTTCAGTGCCAATTGGTTGCCAAGACAACCAGACCCACCTCTTACGTCAACCGGTAAAATTGCTATTCTGAAATCTGTTTGCTCGCCTGCCCTCCTTGATGGCACGCATAGGTAACTTTGAAGTTGTTTTTTTTTTTTTTTTGCCCTGCAGGTGTTTAATCAGCTTTTGTGTAAAAATGCAGCGGAAATGGGGCCTGAAACTGCAACTTCCACATGCCTCAGGGAGTGTGCTTTGCAAAACTGCATGAACAAAACAACCCCTAAATGCAAGGATTTCACATTAAAAGCAAGCGCATTGAACATTCATAGTTAACCAGGATGAAACTGCAACTTCCACATGCTCCAGAAAGCGTGTTGCAAAAATGAATGGAAAAAAACAACAAAAAATGCTCGGATTTCACAATGAAAGCAAGAATAAAACCCCTCATTGCACATTCATTGTCTGCTTTAAGTTATATAATCCAGAGAAAATGCAATATGCATTACAGATCCGTAACATTATATAATGTAATGTGCAGAACCTCATGTGAGACCAGACATTTTAGCAGGCACAAAGACAGTTCGGTCAGCTACATGACAGCACCATCTGTTGGCAAGAACAGAAAACTGAAGCACATTTCCTTTCTAGTGCAGCATTGTTAGTAGTTAAGTAATTGCATTCACACATGTTTAATAATGCCACACAGGCATTCCCCCTGCACACAAAACACATTTTAATACACCCACAGGCTATTATTATCAAATAAGCAACCACAATATCTTGTGACCAAACATCTGAAACTTGCTTAGATACAGCTCACACATATCCACGCCCAGCAGTGGTTTCTCTTCATGCTGTGCAGTGACAGTCAAACAGAGAACAGTAGGATTGCTACGCAGAGCAGAGCACAGCAGAGCAGAGCAGCGCTCTGAGGGCCTCTGCTGTCACGCATAGACTTCCTGAATGTAAGAGTTCCAGATGTGCTTTTGGCATTTCCTGCCTAACATTCTCCAAGAACACACTCAGCCTCTCCTTACTGGGCTTGCTACATCTTTCCAAGACACTGACCCAACAGCCCACTCATACTCGGAAATAACGCAGGCATTTGTATTCAGTAATCCATGGTGATTTTACACAATTCAGAGAAAGGCGTATATGCCTTTAGAAGCCTCCTCTGATGACATATCCTAAACTGCTCACTACTAAAGAGTGTCTGTGCTGACAGATCACTGGGAGGGTTGAGCTTCTCACACAATCAGGTGGAGTCAGGAAAGCCCGCAGCTTTGAGGTTTACTCTGGTCAGCAGACTTCTATCACCAGTGTTTCCGCATGCACTGTCCCTTTCCCTGACATCAGAGTCCAAACAGGAAGCCTTGCACAGGGATGACATCACTCTTCAGGTTTAGAATAAAAGGTCAAAATAGTCCCTGAACTGGACAACAACATTTCAGCAGAGAGCCAACGGCATCTTTTTGTCCTTGTGTCTCATAATATCTGCTGACGCTACTGGAAAACGGCTCTGCGGTTTAATTTGGGATTGTTTACAAAATGAGTAACCTTGTGTGAGTCAAAATTTGCACTTACAGTATTCTCAGGGTGGAATGTGTAATCTACCATGTCATACTAAGCAGCACTGCTGCGCCACCCAACTGACCTGGCTCATTAGCACTTATTTGATTTCATTAATGTCTCTTTGAAACCAAAGCCTCAGTGCTGTAGCGAAAATGCATAATTTGTCAGAAATGATGGTTTCAACTGAACAAAGGGTAGATTCAAGTCAAACTGAATAAAAATGAACATGCTTACAGTTCAAATATAATAACTGTATTTAAAACAAGACTTTGTTGACCAGAACCTGTGCAGAGTTGCTCGACATGCAGATGGGATCATGTGGGATTTTTATCTCTGACTGACATTTGTCAGATGAATTTCTACAACTGTCAACATTTATTCAATTAACATGAAATATGTTCACATTTGTAGCCATGCTAACTGCAGATGATCCACCACTTTAGGCTGAAATATCTTAACAGCTGGATAGATTGATTGCCTTGAAAGTGTGCACAGATATCCATGGTCCCTAGAGGATGAAGCCTTGTGATTTTGGCCTGTCTCTCACTTTCCCTCTCGTGCCTCCACCCACTTTTCACTTATCCTGTGAAATATATCTCAACCTTTATGACATGCGCTGGCATAAAATTTTATGCAGACCTTTACAGTTTCCAGATGATGTATCTCACTGATATAGTGGCACCATAAGGTTGACATTTTGCGGTTTAAGTGTCTCAACAGCTATTGGCTAAGCTACCATGGAATTTAGTACACACATGCTTTCCTTCTTCAGAATAATTTTAGTGATCTTGTAACTTCTATTTAATCATTTGTTTTAAAATCCATCAGCTAAACTTGGCGTTTAGCACTAATTTGTGAATCCTAACATGTATAACAAAGTGAACATGGAAAATTTGCACATGCGAAACATCAGCATGCTATCATTGACCTTTGTGAGCATGCTGATCCATGTAGCTCACAGTGAAATTAGCATTGCTATAGACGTGTGTTTTCATTCATAATAAAATTTATTTAAAAGTTTTAAAATATATGATTATTTTCAGGGTCCTAAATATAGAGTCGTAGTTAACAAAAACAGAGCAAAAAGCATCACTCTGAATTGAAACTCTGGATGCAGGATGTTGTGAATGCAGCACTGACGATAGATCCATGTTCTGATAACCTGTACAGATGAGTCCAGGCAGACACAGCCATATGTTCTGTAATCCTGCAGTACACAGGTAACTAGTAGATACAGGAAGAAAGAGACGGAGAACAATTTGTGTCCCTCTGTCTGGCTGGGTCGTGTGACGCTGACGGACACTTGAGACCCAGATTGACATCGACAGCGTTATCCATAGATCTCATTTTCCACCCATCCAGTCTGGCCGCGGCAGCGTCGGCTTTGAGCTCTGCAGGTCTCGTAGATGTCATTGGTTACAAAGCCGCTCTCCCTGTCCACACATGACACGTTCTCATAATCATCACACTGGGAGTCATGGGAAGGGTCGCAGATGTACTTTGTCATGATGTCTGCTGGCAGGCTGCTGGGAAGAGAAGTGTGTGGCAGTTTGGTAACGTCACTGAAGGCATAAGGTCCTTGTACGGGGCAAGGTGTAGCTGTTGTTGACATCCACTGTTTTGATCTGACGGGATAGCTTTCTGTTTCTGTCTTCCTCCTGTGTATGAGAGAAATTGCAGTATTAGAATAATTAGTGCAATTACCACTTCACAGGCCAAATGTTATTGGATGATCAAAGATAAGAGAGATACACAAGTCAGAAATACCCCGAGGAGAAGTGCTCACATTGACTAAAAGTGAGTTTAAACTTGTTGAAAAGCTACTTACTATGCTATCGTGGTAAATGCAAGTTCCCTAAAGGCATTGTACACAGAAGTATTCTTCTTCAATCTCCTCTCAATTTGTGTCCTGTTCTGCATTGCCATTTTATTACCCTTGAACCTTTCTGTGCTTACCTCTTAGCTTGCTGTTTGTAGCAGAAGAAGCCAGCAGCTGCAAACATCAGCAGCAGCAGAGCAGGAATGGTTGCATAAAGGATGTAGGAAACATAGAGGGTGTTGTCTGTGAAAGATACTGCAATGAAAAACACATTACTCGACTTAACTTTATTTAGGATGACCTTTAAATGTGACATTCATCCTTGCATATTTAGGGCCCATCATTATTGTATTGTCACTTGAAACATAAATGTTTAACAGTTTTCCTAAAAACAGAAAGGGGCACTAATTCTGAGCATCAGGAATAATGGTTTTCTTTTCTTACCTGATGACTCAGGAAGTCCTATTTTTATCCTCTCATCGCTTTCTGTAGTTGAAAATATGTTTGGCCTCAGAGATGGAACTGGAGCAACCAGGAAGCAAATGAACACCATCAGTTGAATATAACAATAGAAAGCAAGACCCATGACATTGTTTGGCTAACCACAGCAGATTTCCTATCAAAACACAGTAAACAAAACTTAATGTAAAATATTATAAGCATTGTGTATGATAATAAATTCTGCTTAGATTCCTTGCTCAACTTTTCTAGTTGTTATGGTGCAACTCTATGCAAATATACCTAAAATAGCATTTTTGAAGCTCCTCAGAATGTGTGTGATTACATGTGTTGTGTAAGTTTGGATCCGTAACAATTCTCTTTTAGTCAAACTGAAGATTTTGTAATTTCTTTCTGACTAAATTATGCAATTGAAAGAAAAACACACCATATATAACCTGGAATGTTCAACATGTGAATTGCAGAATTTACCTTCAGATGTATAAAGGGTTAATTTTGACCACTAGATGTCTTTACTTAAACAAGGGGGAAGGCAGCATAGCAGACATTAAAAATAAGAGATCAAAAGTAGTAATGTGGTGGCTTAATATGACTTTTCTTCAACGAAGTATAAATAGAACTTCAGTAGCCTTGTGTTTATATCCCACAGAAACAGCATGCAAGGACAGAAAGTTGTACCTGCATGTGCTGTGTCCCTGTCCTCGGGCATCGCTGGTACTTTTTCTGCAAACGACAGAGAAAACAAGCAAAGAACTTAGCATCATTCAGACAAGACGACTGTTAAAAGTGAAAACTGTGTGTAAGGCTGTTAATGGTTATATAAATAAGTGTCCATATAGATACAGTGAAAGGTTGTTTCACAGGTTTTATGTCCCTTTCCATATTTAAACAAATAAAAACCATTGGTTCATCAAAAAATAAATATTTAAGGTATACCTAAAACACAAGCACATATATTCATGTAAGTTACCAGAAAGCAAAGCATTAAAGTCATCCAGGAAACTGACATTAAAACTGTACATTATGTGTTGAGTTCCAGCTGTTGACAGCAGCGGACATATTTTAGTAGTGCTCTTTGGAAGATAAAATTCTGATTTAGTAGA